ACAAAAGTCTTCAAATAAATCGTTTCATTTAAATTACACAGTGCAAAACAACGTTGTTGTTCAATAAGCATGTTTCCAGTGGGTGGTCATGAAGCGAGCGGATCCAAATTCTTAAAGCTGCATAAATTGTACCCTCCGTTACAATAACCGTTAAATTAAATGTTTTAAACTTTATAAACATGAATAGCGGGCATTAGTTTAACTCCTAGGTAGGTGCAGAAACGGCGCAGGTCAAACTGGATATGCCGCGTATGTGTGATACACATACGGGTGTTACCTATGTGTGGCGACTTCATACATCTGCCATTACAGGTTACTTATCCCAATAAATAAAAACAAACATAGGCCAAATTATATGTAATCAATATTAAGCTACTGAATTGGTTACAGACGTTTCAGAAATGGTGTTTTAAATGGATTTCTTTATCAAAATGTGGGCGTATTTAATAGTAATAAAATATGAATTAATAGAATGCTATTTCAGTAGGACAGAGATAGATCAGTCACACTTTCAGAAATTACATAAGAATATGCATCTGTTCAAAATAACATAATCAACCTTTAATTTGCTGGAGCCTACGATCGCATGAAAATTACAGCGTTACTCCAAGACTAATACCATACAGACATAGCACAAAGCATTTAGTAGTTAAACCATTTGGTTTAATAATAATAGATATTAACTTAAAACGCGGTTAAGTTAACGCAAACATACTTCCTATCATAAGAAAGTGTTGATTCTTGTTGTATTTCTCGAAGATATACAAATACATACTGTATGTCATGAGACACGCGAAAAAGAATAAAAAAATGCAGAATACTTTAACTTTGAACCCGGACATGGTAATTGGGTTAATTAAAAATAATATAAGTAGATGAGTAGGGTCTTGAGGCACGGGAAGGTCTTGAGTTTTTAGTTAGGATAGGTCGGGATTGTCGGGAATTCGGGATCAAGCTGGAAAGGAAAAAGACATGGATGAAACAGAAAATGTATTTAGCGAGGTCACATTATAAAAATAAATAAGGAAGATTAACGCCATGGTATATTTTAAAATTTTCATCGGCAATCAGGAAAATCCTTTAAATAATCATAAACCGGATCAACATACTATTTTTATAACTCCAATTGGACGCGAATGTATAGCAGATGGCTGTTTAATGCCAGGTTATGTTGCAAGAAGGATGTGAACCCTATACTCGCAGGAACACCAATCGCTGATGCTATGCTAATAATAGAATATCAGCTATGATCTTTCAATTTTAATAATAATAATATCCTTGGACATTTTACACTACGCTTCTAGTCCCAAACTAAGCAAAGCTTGTTGGGTACTAGACAACGGATATAAACATACTGAAATACTTTCTTTTGTAAATACATACATATTATAATACATAGTAACACCCAGACCCATCACAGAAATTAAAATCCATCATTTCAATTTCTGCCCGGCCAAGAATCGAACCCGGGACCTCTAGGCATAGTAGTCCGTTTCGAACCACTACACCAAACGGCCGAAGAATAATAGAAGCTTATAATAGAGGGCCTTCAACTTAGAGGCGCCCATAAGGTCTATACGAAATGTATAGAGCTTTATTTTAACTGCGCATTCCTAAAACTTAAACAATTCAATGTCGCGATTCACTGCAGTAGCGAAATACTTGTGTCAATTTGTTCAAGAGACGACCTCGTGCTGATAACCTTGCTGCCAGTTCTTAGCGTTAAATCCTCAGGTAAACACGCCTATTTTGGTGCATCCACGCCGCAGTTATTTTTTGTGGAGCAACATTGCGCAACACGGTATCATTACATAGCCATAACTTTTGTGGCTACCTATTACAAATTGCTATCGAATATTATTGTTTTTGCTATCGAATGTGGCCTAGTCATATTCGGAAACGTTACTACAAAAAAATTAACTAAAAGCCATTAGCGGATGTCGCACTGTTACACTAGAAAGCTAAAATATCCGAATAAAATTGTTACTAAGTTGTTTTTTGCCTACAGAAAACGGGAATAGACGAAGTGAGCCTATTTTAGAAGAAATTGACTGCTGAAATAATATTTACTTACTGAAATTAGAAACTCAATTAGTCTACAAATTGTATGTCGAATTTTATTGTGTGATTAGTAACATTTGCAGAGACCAATTTCGTAACATTTGTTTACCTTTAGTCACGTTATGAAATACAAACGTGCGATCTTCTTCAAATACATAATATTATGTAAACTGAAAATATTTTCATAACATGAATAAGTATGTAATATAATTGATATTGTGCTGTGTACTATCCTTAAATAAATAAATAAATAAATATTTATTTTAGTGGAGTGTACATGTAAAAGCTATCAAAATGCATTTATAACTATTTATGTATAAAACAGATGTTTTAACATAAAATAATCGCCAGTTACATGATTGGGTAGATACAAAATTGTGTAACTGTTGATAATTAGGTGTATTTGTGTGTTGCATAGTTTCAGTATATTATGTATATTTACCTTTCAGCTGATGTAATATGCAACTTTATAATAAGAATCTTTATGATATGGTATTATAGATAAAGACTAAAATATTTCTTACAGAAAATGAAGATTCAGATGAGAGTTAGTTGTTTAACCAGTTAATAGAAAACCAAGTGGAAAATTGTCCATGTGCCGTTTTAAGTGTTACAATTTGACCATAGTGACGAACGTAATGGACAACATCCTCAAGTACGTTAGGCATCCAGACGTCAAACTGAAGGTCATTTCAATAAGATCTTTGCTGCAAAATTGTGTCCACACAGTGCGGTGATAGGAAACAAGCAATTACTGTGGTCAGGTATGCATGCACAATAAACGGTGTTGATTAATTTAATTTGTAGTCGGATAAAAGGAAAATAGTTATTGCATTTCAGAGGGTAAAATTATAATCATTATTGCAAGAGCAGTCTTTCAACAATTTTATTATTTATCCTTGTTACATTAATGACATAATGGAACTTTCTAAGTTTTTTTAAGAGCAATTGAGGATTTGCAAGCCTACTACATATGTCCAGGCAAATGTTTTTTCAAATTTGATTTGAATATTTTAAAATTATGAGTCTTTTAATTCAGTTTTTTTCTTTGAATACCTACTTAATCATCGGGTAACTTACAAATCTTATAGTAGTCTAACCAAATAAAGAAATAGACTTTGGCTCTATATGTAGTTTGCGTACCAGATTACCACCAGCTTCGTTATACGAATAAAGCCCACTACAAAATCACCTTAGTACACACCACAGCTCATCCAGGTGTACACAGTGGTGTCTTATCTCATTGTAATACAGACTAATTTCCAACAAAAATTTAAAGTCTGATGTGCTGTTGTCCGTACAAGCTGTACTTAGTACTTAGTGTGTGTAAATAATTTTAATAAAGATACTATGAAATTTTAAAATTAACTAATAGTTTAAATTTTATCTACAATTCTTTAAAATCAAGTCAACAATCACAAGTAGACTAGATATTCATAATAATAAGTAATTGATTTGATCAGGGAAGGATAATCTCCGTAATTTACATGTTGGTGTTTCAAAATTAATAACAAAGTATTAATGTTCCAATGTCATGAACCATGATTAATTATGTTATCAAAGTTGTTAGTATATTAGTCAGATTTAGGCTCTATATTTAATTGAAAACCAATATTTTTGATCTAATCAATTTAATTTGTTTTTCCAGTTAAGTTGAAATAAATAAAAGTTGAGGCATACTTAGAGTGCAACAGTGCCAGTTTAATTAATTAATATATTAAATTATGGACATAATTATGCTAAAAATATATAAAATTGAACTAATATTATGGAGCTGTCAATATTTAATTGAACTTAATTTATGAAATAATTTAGAGCTTTGAATTGCGTAGCACACTAAAAACACGAATAAGGCAAAGTAATTAACTGAAGAACAAGAATGACTTACAAGATCCTGCAGTGATTTTCTAAATTTAGCACAAAGCGTGGGTGTATCAATAGGCAATGTTTATTGCTAGGCGGTAATATAATTAAAAAACTTACCTTAGAAACTGCTTGCCGATGAATTATGAAGTCACAGCTTTATAAACGAACCAAATTAAACACAAAAAACAAGTCTTTCCAAGGAAACAGCACTGTTTATGTAATTTAGAATCCCAAAATCTCGTACTTCACGATGAGCGGAGTAAACAAACACGTTTATTTAATTTACTGCACGATTTAAACAGTAAAATTCGGTGAAAGTACGAGAAATCACTTAAAAAATACACAGAATATTCCGACAGAAAATGTCACCATCTGCCGCAAACCGCAATAACAACTGACATTTCATCGACAGACAGCCAGACAGGAACGATGTTGCCACGTTTTAAAAAAAATTACCACAATTTATGATGAAAAATAAATTTCTTAAAATAATTTCATAAACAAAATAAAAAGAAGGATGTAGAATTAATCAATTATCTTAGAAGTAAGGTTTATTCCCAATATTATTGTACTTTGTGTATGTTTTTAACGTACCTAATTACTTATATCGTTATACTGAAATGAATTTCACTCATTAAATACTTATAAACGAGACAAAATAAAGAATACAATACCTTGATTATTTGATTCGCTGTATTCATTCAGATTTCACACGACTTGACGTTAAATTAAACCCAAGCTGACAAGGACCGCCCGCATGCCGCGTGCCGCGCGCCGTTACTTATTTGAAAGTTATTTGTATCATTTATGGGTGATGAATGGGAGGTTGATAATCTGAATAACCCCAATGAGAGAAAACCATTTATTTTCACTATTTTCGTATTATTACTGAGACCCCAAACGTTACATCTCCGCAGATACCCATTTTCCGGGTAAATTTTAGCATTGTGGCAAGCCTGTCTAAATTACGTTCCGTTCAACGCACGATTTATCTAGGTATAAAATATTAAAAAAAAAACAAAATGTAGTTTCTTGGCGGGCTACGTTGGCGGGGAAATTGAAATCAATACAATTAGTTGGTAGGGTAAGTAGGTAGTATGGTAGGTACGTAATATATAAAAAAATGTTTAAACGAGAAACTTTATTCCCATGACATTGTCTTGTTAGGATTAATATCGACTAAAATATGTGTGTATGTATGATACATAGTTTTGGATACTATTTTGTAGTGGCAGTTTGACAAACCGTCGATTTTGTAGGATTTCTCATCCATTGCAGTTTTGAGAAGTTTCTTTCTGGAATAATACAAAATTTTAAAACATCATCTAATAGCCCACACTGTACAGTAGTTACAGTACAGGTACTAGTACAGTACCTGGTAGGATTCTCCGGTTCCTGTTTATGCGGTAGGGCCATATATTTAGCGATAGATTTGCTATATCTGGTCAGAGCAAGACCTGAATGCTTAATTCTGAAACAATATTAACATTAACACTATAAATAAATATTATTTGGTATTATACAGCGTGTTTGGTAGAGGGTTAAGACTTAACTTCGTGGGTGTGAGTAAGGTAATGAAGGCTATATTTCATTTGTCTTTTGTAAGAGGAACTGTAGGTAAACGCAATTAATGTTTTGCTTCTAAAGTCCGGTCTGTGAGCACGTAGAATTTTGTCCAATGACCCCAAGCTACCCATCCTTATTGCTCGCGCGTAATTATGTTGCTGTCGCGCTCGCACACTCACTGCAGCCGCCCGTCGCACAGTCGCGACAGCAATATAATTATGCGCGAGCGATAAGGATGGGTAGCTTGGGGTCATTGGACAAAATTCTACTATACCTCTAGAACTTACCTCCAGAACATGTCGGTGTCCTCCCCGCCCCACCCCCAGTAACGGTTAGAATACCCGTTCACCTTTTCAAATTGACTTGGAGTCATTACAGATACGCCGCCATAGTGACTTTTGTAATTTTCTCTGAAAATGAAAAATACATAATAATGTCATCGCATCACTCAATGTGACTACATTTCTTGAAGAAATGGAAGGCGGTGGACTAGGTGGACCGACGATCTGGTGAAGGCGGTGGAAGTACCTGGATGCGGGCACCGCAGGACCGGTCGTTATGGAAATTAGGGGGAGGCCTTTGTCCAGTAGTGGATGTCATTTGGCTGAAACCAAACGAAATGAAACGATCGAAGGTTCTTGAAATTTGTATACATTATCGTTCCTTTCCTTATTATTAAAGCAGGAAGGCGCTGGACGTAGACCGCTACCAACCGGGCAACATGGAAAACATTGGGGAAGGCCTATGTTCAGCAGTGGACGTCCTATAGCTGAGATGATGATGATGATTAGTTAGAGCAGGGGTTCCCTAAATTATTTGAGTCACCCCCCGCCTTTCAGCCATTTCGCATCGAGCAGTCTGGATTTTCTTAGCGGTCGCAGGATTCTGTGGCTCGCATCCCCCTTTCCAGGTCCCTACGCCCACCCTAAGGAGTACACCCCCACTAGGGGAACCCATCAGTTAGAGGAACCTAGTTTGTTGAAAAATAAAATAAATAGATACAAACGATTCCGGCCTCCCAATGACATACGCGGACATATGTCGCGGCCAAGTTGGACAGCTGTATTTTATCCTGTCGGTGGTCGGCAGAAGGTCTACATCGTGGAACACCATGCACTCCCAGTTGCCGTGCTTCTTCGCCTCTAAGTAGCCCACGTTCAGAAGGCGACCCCTGTTGAATTGTTCTTTCCCTGGATAGTGTTTTTCAAATGAGCGAGCATGTAACAGAAACAGTGGATACTCTACCAATTTTAGTTATTTGACACTAAAATCTTAGTAAGTAGGGTGCAAGCGTAAGTTTTCCAATTTCGGTAAAGACATAGAATCAACATCATAGTCTAGATCAGCAGAACTGACGGTCAATGGGACAGCGAGGTTTTGGAGTGGAGCGTGGGACGTCCAACCACAAGATATACCGACGACCTTTAAAAAGGTAGCATGAAGGCGCTGGATGCAGACCGCAACCAACCGGGCGATGTGGAAATCATTGGGGGATGCCTATGATCAGCAGTGGACGTCCTGTGGCTGAAGTGATAATGATGATGACAGAAAAACAAATACTTAAGATAGGTAACTATTTACACAAGTTCCTTTCAATATCACCCAGTTCTATTAAAAATAATTTGGAACTATTTAGTCCATTTAGATAAAACAAAAAACGTCGCTTACCACTTTGCTCTATAACAAAAATCCTATATTCTAATCCTTGTTCGATCAAAAATGGATGCATCACATATAGAAACACGACCAAATTCCTCTCTCGATTTCTACAAATGAAAAGTAAATAAGATGGCATTTTAAAATACAAGTCAGTCAAGAATATTTACTCATGTAGGTACTTAATACTTACGCCCGTATTCACAAACTATGCTTGCTTAGGTGAAGCAGCAAATCGAACGCAATCGATTGAATAGAGCTCTGTGATTGGTTCGTGTGTCACCCTGTGCGTCCTATACTACGCACTGAGAGGCCTCATAGTAATGTTTGTGAACACGGGCGTTATTTATTTTTATAGACATATTTACTTTAGTTAGCCAGATACTTATTTACCTGTAAGGCACAATAACTGCAATCCTGTGTCGAGCCCGGCACAGCGGTGATTCGTAATACCCTCCCTTCGAGAGCTGGTTCCGATAATATACAACTCCTGTCAGGTTATATTGCTTAAAAATATAATCATCACTTTCATAAGAACCTGAAAAATATTAAACTTTGTTGTTGTTACAAACATAAATCATCATCATCATCTCAGCCATAGGACGTCCACAGCTGAACATAGGCCTCCCCCAATGCTTTCCATGTTACCCGGTTGGTAGCGGCCTGCGTCCAGCGCTTTCCTGCTACCTTTATGATGTCATCGGGCCACCTTGTGGGTGGACGTCCCACGCTGCGTTTTCGTTTGCGATAATTAATATAATAACTTATAATAAGTAATCTACCTACTGCTACTCGTATTATCGTACTTCTGGAGGAGGAGGAAAGGTTCGGGAGTGGAGGCCACGTACCGGAATGCGCAGCGTAGGACGTCCACCCACAAGGTGGACCGACGACCTCATAAAGGTAGCAGGAAGGCGCTGGATGCAGGACGCCACCAACTGGCCATTATGGCTATCATTAGGGGAGGCCTATGTTCAGCTGTGGACGTCCTGTGGCTGAAATGATGATGATGATAATTACGGTACTTACTTACCTTGTACTGGGCGTGTAACTGAAGGACATACTGGCTGGTATTTCTTAGAACCTTTTCTGGTATCTGCAAAAGAAAGTATCATAATAAACGAGATTAGTATTTAAATAAATGACCTACACAATGCCAGACTATTTTGATATTAAAAACAAGTAGAGTGCGGCCACTGCACTTGGCACTACTCTGATAATAATAATAATATCAATTAGGAGTTAGTTCGACTTATATTTTAAAGCTGAGAATTATGATTAAATTATATGATACGGATGTTTAGTAGGGCTACACATAAATCATAAAGAGAGTTTATGAAAATCTACCAAAATAAAAACAAATAGGTAGCTTATGATATTTTAAGTAATATTCAAGGAACGTACCATTGGAAAAGTCAATTTTTTCATTTCTTGCCGGAATACGCGCCAAGAAAGATGAATTCTTCTTTCTTTTCTTTGGTAGAATACGACTAGTGATGTTAGCTGAAAAAAATCGCTATGTAGGTAGATACAGAATCTGATGTGCTGAGACAACTGTACATTTACGAAAATTACGAAAAGGAGAAAAAACTAAATTCATAATCTGTTACGAGGCACCCGTAGCTGTAACAATGCTACAGACAGATGCGACCTGCTACGAAATACTCGTATTTGTAGCAATACACTACAGATGCGCCTGCTATGAAGCACTCTTAGCTGTAACAATGCTACAGATGCGACCTGCTACGAAATACTCGAAGCTGTAGCAATGCTACAGATGCGACCTGCTACGAAGTGCTCGTAGCTGAAGCAATGCTACAGATGCGACCTGCTACGAAACACTCTTAGCTGTAGCAATGCTACAGATGCGACCTGCTACGAAGCGCTCGTAGCTGAAGCAATGCTACAGATGTGACCTGCTACGAAGTGCTTGTAGCTGAAGCAATGCTACAGATGCGACCTGCTACGAAGTGTTCGTAGCTGAAGCAATGCTACAGATGTGACCTGCTACGAAGTGCTCGAAGCTGTAGCAATGCCACAGATGCGACCTGCTACGAAATACTTGTAGCTGTAACAATGCTACAGACAGAAGCGACCTGCTACGAAATACTCGTAGCTGTAGCAATGCTACATACAAAAGCGACCTGCTACGAAATACTCGAAGCTGCTACGAAAGACCATACTACGGGTCTAGGAGTAGGTTCGTAGTACGATGTTCGTTTTTCAGGGATAATAGTCTTTAAATTGTTAAGAATCTAACTCTAGCCGGTTTTTCCCTACAGCACTTACATTCTTGACGCAACAGAAACACCGAATTGAAGCTTACAGGGACGGACATAAACGAATGTTGTTCTTGTTCCATCTCGGACCTAAAATCAAAATAAACATGGGGTTTTATCTGAAATATATGTAGTGTTTCACATTACCATGTGACGACAATGAAATGGCTATGCCACATATTTTGACTAAGGTGTAGTTTGAAGCTTGGCTCTACTCGAGATCTGATAACTTTTCCACAGTGCAAGGTTCATACGGTTCGTCTTAGCAACATTTTACATGAAAATGTTTTTGGTAAGATGGTACTATCTATCTATCTCTATCAACTACATTAACATTCGTATTTAAACAAGAACGGTCACACCCTATAGAAAAAAAACCCAGACCCGACAGTAACGAGACATACCTCAGTTTTTTTTAAGACCGTTCTTCTTTATAGGTCTAGCCTTAACTCAGTGCCTGAGGTTTGAGAGCAACACGAGAGGAGTGACATTGACATTTTGAGACGTGATAGAGCATATTAACCTGTGGGTCTAGACAAAGTGCAAATTATAATCGCAAACCAGTCGAAAAGTGGTCGAAAAGCCCCTTTTTTGTATGGAGTTTTGACGGATTCGATTTTCGATTCGATCAAAAAGTGCGTTTTGTCTAGGGGGGCTGAAGATCTGAAGTCTGGCTGACGTTACAAAAACACCCTCCCGTGCCGCTTCCATAACTCAGGCACCTGAGTTATGGAACTGAGTTAACTGAGGCTACTGAGTTAACGAGCACGTAATTATGTATTCTACGAAATAAATTATTGAATTTGAATTTCAATTTAAGCGCTAGACATATAGAACAGGTACGACATTCTTATACAAGTTGTGCCCAAAATTACTGGTTTCGTATGTTTCAGCCGAAAGACGTCCACTGCTGGACAAAGACCTCCCCAAGGATTTTCATAAAGACCGGTCCTGCGCCGTTAGCATCCAGGCTTCTCCCGCGACCTTCACCAGATCGTCGGTCCACGTAGTAGGAGGCCTGCCCACGCTACGTCTTCCAGCTCGTGGTTTACGTACATTTGATTAGTATGTGTCACAGGCGTGGTGGCAATACATGCGACGACCAGGTAATACGCCAGGGGAGCCAGGAGGAAAACCAGGAACCAGCTGCGTCTGTACCCTGTTTTAGGCGGGGGAGAGTCCAGGCACTCGTGCAAGGATAATGGCGCGCGTTCATGTTCTGAAAACAATATTAGAAACAGTCTTTTGGATTATCCCACATTGTTCACCTAGCTAGGTGATATCACCTGGGTGAACAAAGTACGTACAAATCCTTTATTTGCCCCTGGTAAATTAGAGTGAGTTAGCAGTGGAGACTAAATGACTTGATAATGATGATGATGATGATTAACAAAGTACATTTTTCGTGTCGTCGTTTCACCTCGAAACCATTTTAACCTGGTGATATCACCCACATGAATTGAGTCGACTGAAGCAGTCGCCTTTGTTCATCTAGGAATTAATTTACCTAGGTGAACAGATGTGACTTAATTTATGGATTATTCTCTGTTTGATGTGTAATCCCTAAGTCGCCTCTTACGACACCCGCGATAAGAGTAGGGGTTGGTGACAAATGTATTTTACTCTGCCTTCACCATACGCTCTCTGAAAAACATAAATCTTTTTAAAAAAAACCCGCCTGCCAAGTGTTGGGATTATAGCAAAACCCTCCACTATAGTGGAGGAGGCTTATAGTCCAGCAGTGGACTGTAAAGGGCTGTTGATGATGATGACGAATGGATTATTATTTTTTTGCTATTCGGTTCTAAAAACTTTTTTTACGAGTTTCATTACGAGTGTGAATTTTTGTTAATGCAAAATAAGTAGTAATTTTTATGTGGCATTAAATTAACTAAATGCATAAACAAGCTTAAGTGTGTTTTATTAATGTTTTAATTGATTGTATTTTTAATTTATGTTCAGCCAGCGATAGTATTGAAAATTACTACAAAACTCCGCTGTTCGTTTGTCTGTAAGATAGGCCTCTATCTTATGAGATAAATATAATATAAATCTACTATGTTATAAGATAATCGTACACACACAATAATTAGGTAAGTACATATGAAAAAATTTAGACACTTACTTGACCCAAGGTACCGTGTTTTGATGCTCTTCAATATCCTCTTAAAAAGTATTAATCGGAACATTTTATGTTAACCATCACCAAGTAAACACCACACTACAGATACGAGTGTCGCACGCGCACCTTCACTCACTATAAGAATTCAACGTGAAATGAAAACACGGGGATGTTTGGATTTTGTAAAGACATTGTTTTGGAAAGTATTGATCAATTTGACGACCTAGTGGCATGGTTCTAACATTTTTATTGCGGTCGCGGGTTTGAATCTCGTGGGGGCAAATGTTAGTGTAATAAATACCAGCATTGATACTTGCTCATGAGTCATAGTTTAGTGGCTATTAAGCATAACTGTTGGTGAACCAAATAAATAAATAAATAATTATATGTTCCCTAGAAAATTGCCTTAGGTATATTCTTCCTCAATAAATTGTCTTAACACGGGATGATTCAACAAACGCATTCTACTTATAAGAAGGCACTAACGCCCGTATTCATAAATATTACTATGAGGTCTCACGGTGCGCGTGGACGCACAGGGTGACACATGAAGCAATTACGAGCTCTATTCAACGCTGTGCGTTCGATTTGCTGCTTCACTTAAGCAAGCATCGTTTGTGAATACGGGCATAAGTATCTTAAATGAAATATTCAATGGACATACAATCTTAAAATAAACATCCCTTTACAAATTCTGGTAACACGAGTACTTTCTCATTAACATAAACATGTGTAAATCCCGTGGTGCCTACGGGATATAGGTACACCCACTTTCCTAAGAACCTTAGAAAATTACACAACTCAGTAATGTTAACTAACATTAACGCCGACAATAACAACCTGTTTATTTGCAACAAAAAAGGAATGCGTTCAAATAACGTAAAGAAGTTACAAATAAAGTGAAATGCATATTGAATCGATTTCATTGCCACAGTGAGTAAAATTGTGTTAGCAGTGCATACTTTTCAATTTAAAATTCATTATTTGTTGATGTGTAGGTAAGCTCTTTTTAGGACACTTATTCAAGTCCCAATATAACTTGCCCAACATACAAAGTCGAAAATAACAATAAAGTTCAATTTATTATTATTTTCTACTTGCAGATAACTTGCAGAGCTTTTTTAAGTGACCATGAAGAATGTGGCTTCAAATATAAAGGGCTGCAAACACTGGATATTCGTAATAGGCATTATTGTAATTTGTCTTCAACATCACTATGTTAACATTGATCATAAATCTCAACGTGCAACCCATGCCACGAAAACTCCCAAAAAGCGCAGAGAAGTAATACGTAAGTTATTTATTATTATATCATACTGTTCTCTGTGTTCTCCTTTAACTGTAAGTGTAAGTTTCGTAATTTCATCCACGAAGACGCGCCCCACCAATTTTTGGTTGAGGGAAGCGCGTGGTGCGGGATTTGATCCAAGCAATCCGAGCGGCGTTATTGTTTTTGTAGTATGCGTGTGCACTCATGGATAATTAGCGTGTATACCGATAACACTCAGAATGATGCGGCGCGTCTTCGTATATGAAACGATCTATACCTACGTTGAATTACGTATATTTTATCTTAACAAAGTCGCTAACTGTCTGTAGGTACGCTTATTAAGTCCTACATCTTTGAAAGTACGCAACGGACTATAATGCAGTTTTCAGCAAGGGTGATTCCAGACTCCAGAGGAAAGTTTGTTCACTCTTAGCTCGCTAGTTTATTGATAAAATCTTAACAATGTGATTACGAAAACCCAATTTTCACGACTAACTTACTAATACCAATACGTTAATGCATAAATGAATTTTGGAGTAGAGATGGATGGAGATTCTAATCTACAATCTCCAGAGTTAATCTGAAAGAGGACGAAATTGGTGAATGAAAGTTTGTATATCTATGTAGAGTTTGGTTTTAGGAGTGTATTTGAACGCCATTTCTTTGATAGCACTGAAATGCGGGCCAAGCAGCGGATAAAAGCTAGTTTAGTAACTATTAAAACCAATTTGATTTCAGTGAAGCTTGGTCATCACCGTTTAATGTCATACCAAAGATTTAAATCCATGAATTTGTCGTTGAAAAATGTGGGTGAGTATTTTTATAATTATAACAATATAACCATTTCTCACGATTGCAATATGTACATAGTTGAAAAAGTTAGTTATTCTACTTAATTTCATTCTATTTTTTATGAAACCAACTCAAATATTTAAAAAAGTTTAGTGTAGTTGCTTACTTTATAATACACAGGCGTGAGCAGGAAGTTCATTCGAACTTGCTTATTTATGTAAGAATCATAAAAATAAAATTTATATGTTCCCTTTCCTGAAATTTTCCTGCATAAAAAAAATTACTTAGGACACTCAACTCAATTTGACTTTTGTTTTACAGGGAAGAATGAAGTTATGCCTCCCTATCCCGAAAACACACCGATATGTTTCTTCAACAAGACCAATTTAGGTAGCTCAATATCCCCAGTTTATTTTTACACCTGTATTTGATTAAAACCTTGCTTTACCTACTAGTCCTGAATTCTTCTACACAAAAATATCTATAATAGTTAATTAACTTTTAAAAAAAAATTAAACCGACTTCAAATGTGTGTTGGTTCATAATCGGCGGAGATATTGCGTATAAAAAAGTTCATCCCCAATTTTCCACCCTTGGGGGTGAAATATTTTCTTCAAATTAGCATGAAACCACCCTTTTGATAATACCTATTCAACAAAAAAATAATCGTTCAAATTGATTTATAATCGGCGGAGATATTGCGTATAAAAAAGTTCATCCCCAATTTTCCACCCTTGGGGGTTGTTTTTTCTATTATTAAATTTAAATGGGACCACCCTTGAGGTATTACCTATACGCCGAAAAAAGATTTGTTCAAATCGGTTCATAATTGGCGGAGTTATCGCGTAACAAACATAGAAAAAAAAAACATACGGATCGAATTGAGAACCTCCTCCTTTTTTGAAGTCGGTTGAAAAGCAATGTTCAATGTAGCAAATTAATGTCTAAAATTATATTGGGATAGGTACCTACTTGACCTGTTCCTTGAAAGAGATTAGACACCATTAGTAACAAATTAAGCCCGGGGAACCAGGGGTCGAAACTGGAATGTTATAGAGCTGAGAGACGGTTCTCCGATTAAATCCACTCTAGACATTGAATTGATACTTTTCTGAAAGAAAGAAAAAACTTAGCCAAAACCCCAGAAACAAAAGGTTCAAATTCAAATTCTTTATTGCTATTTAGGTAACAATATTTTTTTTTATTTTCAGTATTTTTTTTAATGTTTGACTGGACATTATTTTATTGCTAATGATCTCTAAGTATTAGGTCAAGCAAAACCCCTTTCAAGCAATAGGTCAAGTTTCCCTGTCACCCTATGTAACAGTGGTTAGCTTGATGAGCGTGTTGTCTTCTCTAAATATCTAATTATATATACAGGTAGAATCCGCGTCGACCGGTCGTACATAACGCCACGTAAAGTGGAGAGACTGCGATTGGGAGTCAGGCCTGGGGGCTTCTATGCACCCCCGCACTGCCGGTCGAGGCATAAAGTGGCTATCTTGGTTCCATTCCGGTAAGAAACCTACTTAATATAACGCAAAGTAAGACGTCTAAACACGAGGTGGACAGACGGCATTGTGCTAACAGGAAGACGCTGGATGCAGTCTGCTACCAACCAGTTAATCTGAATCTGCAAACCATTGCAAGATGCCTATGTTCAGCAGTGGACATCTTAAAACTTATATGGCTGAAATTGCTAAAAAGATGATGTTATTTTTGACTTCAAGAATCCTAAGTAAGGATTTATTTTACTATACTAGGAATACCAGCATGGAAACACTTGCTAGAAGAGTGATTAAAATATTCCTGCTTGTTCCAGAAATAGAACGACCAATTTGTCCAAATTCTTGAGGCATATTCATCCATTTCTGCAAAAACAACTCCTACAGTATCGAATTTTCGTCATCGAACAATATGGTAAGTGTTTGCGTTTCTGATCAAACTCTTTTGCACGCTAAAGACTGACTGAAAAATTTTCATACATTTTCTGTAAATTATTACGAAAATCTTACAGGAAAAATTAAGGTTTACTTATACATGTTTCTCCAGATAAGCACAAATTCAACAAAGGTGCGTTGTACAATATCGGCTACCTCGAGACCCAGAGGTTCGGCAACTGGGACTGCCTGGTCTTTCACGATGTGGACCTCCTCCCGATGGACCTGAGGATCCTGTACAGCTGCCCGAGGAGACCTACCCACATGTGCCCTGCTTTGGAGTGTTGGGGTTACCAGTAAGTACCTACCTCGGTGACTGACACAATCTTTATCTTGATTTATGGGCAGAAGCAATTTAGCAATTTAGCAATTCTGCGAGCTATGTCGGTCACTTTGGTTCTCCTGCGGATCAAGTGGCAGTGGGCGGGGCACATGGCCGTTGGGGCAGAAAAGTTCTTGAGTGGCGACCACGGGCTGGAAGACGTAGCGTGGGTAGGCCTCCTACTAGGTGGACCGACGATCTGGTAAAGGTCGCGGGAAGAGCCTGGATGCGGGCAGCGCAGGACCGTGCAAAACCTTGGAGGAGGCCTTTGTCCAGCAGTGGACGTCATTTGGTTGAAACGAACGAACGAACGATGGGCAGAAAAGCTGTTTTTAAATACACATTACAGGAGGTAACGTAACGGGTAACGAGAGTACCATTAAAGTTCGCTCCTCTTAAAAAATTGTATACCTAGGCAATATAATTATAGGGCCTATACTATAGGGCATGTAGGTACCTATTGCAATTGCATGCAAGGGTTCAAGTAGTAGTATGTAATCAGATCAATGCAGGTTTGAATCAGCTTAATTAATTATCCTATGAGGAAGAGGAACCGTTTCCGTGCTACAAGGGGCACATTACAGCACTTTATCAAAGTTTTTGTAACATCCTGGTGTATTGCAACATAATAAAATTATTAAAGGAAGGGAGGGGACCAAACCCAATCAGATTTAAGATAATTTTGTGTGACACTTATCTTCCAGAAAGCCGTACTATAAATTATTTGGTGGAGTAACTTCGATGCCGACGGAGATGTATTTAAAAGTCAACGGATATTCCAACGAGTACTGGAACTGGGGTGCAGAAGACGACGACATGTTTATACGGTATTTTATAAGTTTTTTGATCCAATGCAATGGGAAAGGTTCCATTCCATTCGAGTGATACTTTCTGGCTGCGCTACTATCTAGTAATTCCAGTCCCAATACTGCTATGGCTCTACCTAAAGAGGTATGTTCGTCATAGTAACCTACCTAGATTAGAGTTAAACGGAGAACTTCATCTTGGGTGACCCCAGTGCCATCATAAATGAATGATGTAAGTATTAGATCATTAAATACACTGGCACAAGAGCTCTACTTGTTATATGCCACGCCAATGAGTTTGCATATTCTTAGATTTAATTTAATTTATCCCCATAATGTTGCAGAATACATGCGTCCAGGCTTGCCATATGGAGGTATAACATGAGCATCGCTCGCTTCACCTGCCTGCCCCACCCGCGTGGTATCCTTAATGATGACAGGTAAGTTACTATCATGGCTATTGTGTAGGTGATATTATGGGTAATTTTCTTTTTATTTTATCTGAAATAAGAACCTTAATCTGTATCACACTTATCTATAGACGATCTGCGCATATTTGTATTGTTAATCTGTCTGTATTAATAATTAAATTTTAATTAAATCCCACTCATACATTATATGTCCTTCCTACAGACGAATAAAGTTAGCAACGGCAAAGAAACGTTTTAAGCATGAAGGCCTGAATAGCTTGGAGTACAGGCTAATAGCAATTATCCAGAGAAAATTATTCACGCACATCCTGGCCGATGTAAACCCTTTCAATTATACTGTTTGAGTAATAAACCGATGGGAATAACAACGTTTTATTTTAATGACACAGGTAAGGAATAGATAACAATAAAATAAATACTTAGTACTTGACTTGCCAAAGTCTAAAACGAATTAAATGAATATCTTACGCACTTCCTCTGCTAGGTTGAGCGCAGTAAACTTCTTTACTTTGTGAAGCAATTTGCAAATGTTTTGATCGGACACAAATTTACATACGTATATGTCTCCATTATCGGTGTCCACTTCTAAACGTTTCAGTGCATTTTTCACTTGATCGATGTAAGGGGTAACCCTTTCTTCTGGTATCAGCTCAAAATGCCAGGGCAAACAGATTTTGAGGACATTCCATATGGCAGCTTGACTCACAGCATACGCCAAATTGAGATCTTCTTGAGGTTCACTTTTATGCTCTTCTTCTACTTCTTCTTTTTCAGGAGGCTTATCCTCGACCACCTCGGCTTCTTCTTCGCAAGGTCTACAGATAAAAGTTGTCTTAACATCGGTATCTGATTGTGCCTGCTTGCTTCGCGTCGTAACAAGACTCTTCTGAGATTTGGGCAAACGAGCGCTCTGGGAACTGTCCAATTTCTTGCCTTTTGGTGCACCTTTGCCTTTCTTGCCTTTTTTATCAGCATCAGGTGGAGGCTCAGAGTATCCTAACTCTATTATAGAGGTTCCCTCACAGATATTTACCACCGCTGCAATCACTTTGTCTAAAAACTGATTAGTACACTTCAACGCACAAGCCAGACAAGCATCTCTGTATTGCTTTTGTTTTATTAATTTACAAACAACCTCTTCGCAATCGTCAAGTGAAAAGCAAGTCTTTTTACCAACTGCCATCGACAATGCTGTTACAAACCCTTCAATAGGATCGACATTTTTACAAAATGCCAAAAGAAATGCTGAATAATTCATTTTGTTTTCAGCCACCTCAAATAATTCAAAAAGGAAATGCTTGATTAAGTTCTTTCGCAGCACCATGTATTTATCTTCTGAGTCAAATTCTTGTTCAAACCAAAGCTCTTCATTGATGAAATCATCTCTATAAATAAGCTCTGTAGATTCCAGATCATTGCAGCGAAATCTTTTGCGGACTTCAAGCAATTCTTCAACCGTTGGGTAACGTACGTTCAGACAGTAAATAAGGAAGTCTCTCCAGTCAATATAAGCCGTGTCGCCAAACATTAAAAACACTAACTTTGGGATTTGTTCAGGATCTACTCGCTTCCAGATTTCTGGTATAAGGGGACCGTCACACGACTCTTTACCAAAGAAAATAAAATCCTGTAGCATGTAAATGAAAGCTTGCTGCAGAGCAATACCTGTTGGAGCAACGATCTTGAACTGGGTTCTTAGTCTCGCTAATTGACCTACTTTGAACTCTGACTCCATAACCATTTCTTTGATCTCACCAGTTGTTGAAGGAGGCTCTGGTGGAGCAAATTGTAGAAGATTCGGATCAATGACAAAAGTGTCGTGTTCAAGAATTAAACTTTCTGAAATCTTTCTTCCACCTTCAACCGCCATTTGGAGATATTTGCAAAGCCTATCAACAGACTTAATTTCATTCATGTAATAACTGTTTATGTCGTTTTGCACTTCCATGAAAGTCTTGTAAATATGGTCATTAAAAAGTTTCATATCGCGGTAGCACTTGTATTGTAGAGCCAGCATACGCAAACTAGCTCGATACATCTCTCCGTTGATGCCCATTATCCATTCATCGATACACTTCAAGGCGTTTTGCTTGAAAATTTCTTCAAGGTTGATAGATTCTTCTGAAGAATTTTCATCTTTTCTTTTAGTCGGCGGCACAATCTTAGCAACTTCACTATATTCACGACTTATAAGAGAACGATAAGTATCGTTGGTATCTTTAATAACCTTTAAAGCAAACTTTACATTGTTTTCAATTATTAGATTGAATGGATTATTGCTGTAATCAATTTCAATGTTTTTCAACTGTAAATCTTGAAAGGCATTTCTCAACTGCCTGTAAACTTTATCTTCACCTCCCTTCTTGCTTCCGGAAGTTTCGTCAGATTCTTTAAAGATTTTGGTCAAGTCTTTTGACGATAGTCTATCATTCGGAGGCATTTTCTTAATCATAGCGAAATAAAAGTCATGAAACGTTTGAAACGTTAAAGTGGACCTGAAAATTAACAGATTGTATGTATTAAATTAATCTCATTTATCGAGTAATTTTTGAAATTTTTTAAAAGAAATATTAAAAACTAGCTTTTGCCCGCGGCTTCACCCGCGTGAAATTCAGTGTCACAGATCAGCATAAATTATAGCTTATATGTTAATCTGGGTTACAAACAATAATACTGTAGGTAAAGTTTCAACAAAATCCGTTCAGTAGTTTTTGCGCGAAAGAGTAACAAACATCCAGACATCCAAACTTTCGCATTTATAATATAGTAGGATAGTAGGAAGTAGGATCTACGATGTAGTTAGTAGATTACCGGTTTAATTCTGTTTGCATGCACGATATGTACGTATTCACCATTGTTGTGAGTTCTTCCATAGCCCAGTTTTCGCATATAAGTGCCTGCCTTTGATTCTCTGCATATAACTTGCGTTCATCACAAATGTGGTAAAGTCTGTTTTGTAATTCTTTCACTCTACAATGCCATTCGTTTTTAGTCAAATGAATATCTCTCCAATCATTTTCAAAATCATTGTACTCCTTTTGGAAACGACTAACCAAATCCTGTTTGTGTGATGGTAGCGTTATAATTTGTTCCATTTTATCTTTGATGAACCTGGCGTATGGCACTAAACAGTTCATTTGTAAGCGTTTGGCAAAAAATAAATTCTGCATGTCATTGATATACGTTTTCTCAATTTCCTGCCAACAGGTTGCAAGTGCGACTCCTATTATTTCTGCAATAGGGATTTCACCATAGTCCCAATCTTCTTCCCCGGGTAATATTTTTACCTCTTCCGAACTTAAAGAGGTTTTACTCTCAATATGTTCCTCGCCATCTTCCTCTGCGATCATCAACATTTCTTCGTGTAAATCTTCTTTGGACTCAGGTGCCTTTACTACTTCTAATTCATTTGTTACAGACAGTCTACTTAATTTAGAAGATCGGCGAAGCTTTTCCTTTGATCTACCATTTGTAACCTCTGGTTTAACGATTTTAGATTTTGTTCTTTTATCATCTGTACTAGGAAAATCTAAGAGACTCAAAACATTTTCACCAAAAAGTCTATCACAAGATTTTAATGGCATTAAATAATCCCCAATCACATATTTACATATTTGTGCAAGGAATTCTTTTTCTATTAGCTCATAATACATGCTGTAGTTTATGCCCAGTACAGCATAAAAACGATCGATCATCTCAGAATTTTCTTCAGTTAAATCCCAAATGACTAGTTCTTGGAGAATATCTTCTGTCTCTCTCAATCTAATATAACAAGAGAAATAGCTTTCAAATGGCTTTTCAATTCGCTTTTTATGTGGATCATTAACTAATTTAGATACCCTTATATCTTTGTATTGATCTGTCTCCTTCTTTCTATGTTTTGCAATACTTTCTTCCAAATAAATATCGTCTCTATCGTCTAGTTCACCTTCATCAGGCGGAGCACGACCAGAGAATGTCTCTTCAAGAATTTGTGCCTCGCGATATGAGTTTGGATAATTAATTATAACAAAGCCGTTAATATCGTCTTGATCTTTTAGGTACTCTACTATCATGGCTGATAATAAATGGTCAGTCAACGTATCGCCAAAATTGAGCGTTTCATATGCATATCTTCCCAATTCGGCTGCAGGTGATAAAACTATTTCTTCTTCTGGAATAGTCTTGGGCGTCTGTGTTTGTTTAGTATTCGGAGGAATCACCCCCAATATTTGAGAAATGTTTGGTTCGCTACTTTTACTCGCTGTTTCTTCCTCAATCTTCATTAGCTTGATCAGCTCCTTGTCTTCTTCTAACTGAGCAGCAGCAATAAATTTATCAAATGATAACTCAATATCAGTGCATCCTACCATTTCAACCTTAAACCTCTTCAAGCTAAAGTTAATAGCAGACTCAAGCCGAACGACGTGTATTTTACGCATATTGAGTAAAGTTTGCATTGCCACAGTAATTGATCTGTCCGGAAGACCACGTAAAATCGCTTTAGCTGTATATGCTGGCAAAGCAGCTGGTGGTCTTGGTGGAGGATAAGGGTATTTAATTTCAAGTAACGTATACACGACGTGTCCAAGAATTCTTGTACCCAAATACTCGTATTTCCTCTCTTCTGATTCTGGATCATAATTAGGGATTAACAAATCCAATGTCCAGGGATATGAATAATTGTGATATTCCATAAATTCACAATCATTTAGGGATTCTTGTCGGTCTAACTCTAGTCTTATAATTTCTTCTTCTTCTGGTGCGGGCTCTTCTTCTAAGCCTTGTTCTTTTAAAATATTTTCCATGGGATCAAGAATATCGAAAATAGGTTGCTGTCTAAAATATAGATTTTTCCATTCATGAATAAAATGGTTAGGTATGTCATCGCCAATCAATTTAGTAAAGTATGCATATTTTGTGGCATAATCAACTATGGAAAGCATTGTTTCGTAACATATTTCATAGTAATGCTGTCGTTTTCTCTTCATTTTTTCAGCATATAATTTTTTGTGCAACATGTTTTGTCTTTGCTTCTCAAAATCTATTTCAGTTACTTCTAAGTTTATTTGCTCTTTGACATTATCGAGAAACTGGTTGAATTGTTGTTCTCTTTGATCTGCAAACTCTCTTTCTGCTCGAATCCTGTTTTTGACCAAATCACGAGCTTGCTGTTTGGTTTCCATTATTTTAGTGCACATTTGTTTTTCAAACTGAGATAATTTCATTACTTTTTTGGCAAGTTCTCTATCCAGTTTTCCTTCTTCTTCGGCTACCGAGAGATCCCACAAAGAGCCACTGAGGACATTCCTTACTTGCTTCTGGAACTCTTTGGAGTCTGATTTCTTACGCAATCTGCAGTACAAATTATCCATGTAATCTCTAACCCAGTCTGTATCAACCATTGATTTCTTTCTTTGTACAGCTTTTTCTTCCATTTCAAGCAGTTCTTCGTATGTATAATTTTTGAATTTACAAGGATATCGTAACGAAAATTGTTCCATTTCTTTTCTCGTATTTGGCATCTCTGTAGTCTTATGAATCTCATACTGCAGTAGAGTTTTAGATTCCTCAATTTTTCCTAGCATTTTTGAGTATTTGTGTCTAATATAATCGTAGGTATCTTTTACTTGTTCCGTTTTCTTTCTCTGCCAATCGATAAATTGTTTTTCATTTAATAATGGCTTGGAAAGATTATCAACAAAAGATTCTTCTTCTTCTGGTATCTTTTCCACTGTAAATCTACTTTTCATCTTTTCGACGAGACCGGAAACCATTTTTCTTTCGCGTTTGATAAAGTTAGTGCGGTCTCGCTTATCCAAGTGGAGAAATAATTGGTAAAACAATCGGAGTAAAGCAGTGCCTTTACCTTCCTTGACGCTGGCAAGATCTGTATCGTTCAAATGAACCTCCAATTCTTTTAACCACTCGGATAAATATTTCCAATTATTTTTGAGGTCCTCTGCAGCATTGCTCGATCTGATAAGAAAATGTTTCTCTTCGTTGATGACATTGTAGCTTAGAAGCACGCTGGCGATTATGTAGCCATTTTTCATCATATCACCGAATTCTTCTGGTTCCCATTTTATGGGTCTTCGTAGTCGTTCTGTTAACCACTCTTTTAGTATCTCAGCCATAATGAAAATTGGGAAAATACATGAATTAAATAAATTGTTTGCGTGTTGTTGTTGACATTGATAACGTGAATTTGTCAAATTAAATACTTTTATAATAGGTACCCAGTCAAAAAAAGGAAAGCGGTTTTAAATTGTATGGTAGAGAAAATATTTTGAAAAAAGGATTTTCAAAAAAGGTAAAAAAAACAGCAATAGTAAAAACTTCAGTAAATTGGAGCACTCTAGGCAGGCAACACCAACTTCAGTTGTCAATACTGTCATTCAATATTATGACTTTTTTGTTATGTTTATTTTCACTGTTTTTGCACATTTCGTGAATTTCTCTATCTGTATTTCAGGATGAAATGCAATGAATTCGAAATGAGTGTAAGCACAAACGTTTTTGCAAAGTGAAATAATAACCTTAAATGTATGCAGTTTATGTTATCATCTTATTACGTTGTTTGCAGAAACCTCGTCACTCGAAGAACTTGGATAATTTAGACAAAGCTCTTCAAGATTTGGGCATGCTAAGTGCTATTACGGAAGCGCGTCGTGAGTATTTACGTGAATCACACACTACTTTGGGAATGATGCGGCTAAACACGCGGTTCGTTTCCAACGTCACTGTGGGGTATTGTATGCGGAGATCGACGAATAAAAACAGGCTGTGCCCTTATGTTTTGCCCGTCAGACATAGAACCAAGAGTGAGAACTCTGAAGCGATTACTGGTGACGTGAAAGACGGTGGGAGCGAATTCAAAAGCATACTGGAGCCGTCCACGAGTGGATTCGGCAATCACGAGTGTGCAAAGAGTCCCGCAAAGAGGTGTCAATCTCTGGAAAACCTGAATCTGTCATTGGAATCCCATTCCAACCCAGAAGTGTCACCCGATATGGATGGTGTGTCAACAAGGATCCAAAAACTACAAGTTGATGAATGACACCAAAATGTTTTATCTTTGTCAATAACATAGCAAAGAGATAGCAGAGTAGTTCTCAGTGGATGTTTGTAAAAATATTTTTCTGTGTATTTGTACCAATGGATTTGGACCCTTACTAATGTAAATGCGCTTTTTATTTTTGTTTGTTATTTTGTTCATAAGGTTTTATTTAATTTTGGGAGCTTCCATGTGATTTGTAATAATAATTATTCATAGTAATGTAGTGGAAATAGGAATTCATTAGGACTTTGTGCGATGATATACTTATATGCTTACTTTTCTAAGTTCAGTTCACACTTCAGTACAAATGTGATTAATCTCTAATTATTTCAAGTTAAATACCTGTTAATTTAGTTCATACTTATTTAAATCTTATTTACAGTCATTTGTTTTAGAGTTTTCCAATGAATTGCCATTAACAGAAGTGTTTGTAAGTTTTATAAAACAGGATGCTTTTGTTTGGATTCAGAGATTTATGTTTGGACAGTTAGTAAGGGTAGGTGAGTGTAAAGTTGTTTGTCAATGTTCCTAGTTCCTTGGCATAATACAATTAGAATTTGCATGTGTAACCCAGTTTAACACAATTTCAGGGCAGCTGTGTGTGTTTGTAAAATAAGCAAATTGCTCAAAATTATTTAGATTGGGTACAAAGTAACATAATTAATGAAATTATTTTGTATCTGCACTAAGACATTGTTGGTGATGAGTTTGTTAACTGTGAGGATTACAATGATTTTTTATGGTTACCTAAAATAAGTACCACATAAGTGTATAATATTAAGAACAAATTACCTTGTTTTCACTAAGTCACAGTTGCACTTGAAGCCTAATCATGAGGAAATATTTGTGGTAAAGTACCCTCAACTACCTATTTAGTTCAAATCTGTGTACCTATATATTTTAAAAATTACAGTATTACTTAAATATTTTATTACTTGTTTTTATTAGGTAATAGTTTGGAATGTTTGTTTGGAATTTAATACATTAGGAATTGTTTCCTATAATCAGATTTTAGGTGTGTTTTTTCATAATATTACAATATTTTAAACTAAGGCACCGGTTTGTCCACACTAAGACTGTCATGAGATCTCATTAATTTCAAATGCATAGTTAATTTCGCTTTAAATTGTTTAAATTATTCACAGCTACTCTTGTACACAGTTCACTGCAAATCTGCTTTTGTGACTTAGCAAAAGATACTTATGTTTGTTAAACATATTTTGTTATTTTATCTTATTTAATAATAACAAATATTTGAAATAAATATTGCTTTGATAAATTACTCTGTGGTTTATTTTTAACTATACCTACATATTATTTCTAACATGTAACCTTAGGTAGACCATGAAACGAATGCCCTTGACTTGTCAGCATTGTTTCCTTCTACCTTGCATAATAGGGGATCGGAAACTGCAAATAATTTCTTGACTGACATAAAAGTAGATCATTGTTACGAGTATATTAGATTCTTATTGATTTGAAATGAGTTGATTTAACAGATAAAAAAGTATAAACACTAGGAATAGGTACCTTAATAATACTAAAATAACACTACAAAAAACATATCAACTTAAAATCATTTATTTGCATCCATTGAGTATGTTTAACACTTAATATAAATAACAAAATCCACTGTAAATAATGAATTGCATTTGATTTGACTATTGCTCACATAGCTTTGACTTTCAGTTGCTTCATTTTGGGAGTCTTGCGTTTCTTCTCACGCTTCTGTTCCTTGAGTTCCCAGCGGCGCTGCTTCTCGGGGTCATCCTCCTGCATACAATAAAAATAAATAGTTAAATGCTTAACGTACAACACGGTCGAATTAACTGGGCAACTGGCAGCCGTGACGTCACACGCGGGAGGAGTATGAGCACAGAATAAGTAATAGTACAGGTACAGAAGGATTACTCCGCAAGACGATTTAAATAAATGCGAGTCTTGCTACGACGCGATACAGTGGAATTCAGCTCGCACAGCACTACGTACCTACAATTTTATTCACCTACAAGTTTTGTCTCTTTCTATCGCGTGCCTCTGAACTCTTCTTACGCTGTTAGGGTTGCTGTCTAGTAAAAAAATAATTAATCTAGGTACTTATTTGTAATGAGGTACGTATGTAAGTAAGTATGCATTCATTATGGAAAACCTTGGGAGAGGCCTTTGTCCAGCAGTGGACGTCATTTGGCTGAAACGAACGAACGAATTCTGAGCATTAGTCATGGTAGGTTAGGTTCCTATACTATCCTAAGAATTATTGATTACCTACATGGCCAACATACCTTTCAGCATCTTTGGGAAGCGAAAAAAAAAGATAAATCCGGTAGATTTCTTTTCGAATTTTAACACCCGAACGCCGCACAATATTTCTTTCTCTTTATGTCCATTTTTAAATAATACTTCGATCATAGAATTATAATCATACTACAACGCACGCCAGCGTCCTGACGGCCGCGCGTGACACTCGACTGATATAATACCCGCCGGCGGGGCGCTTCGCTGTAGGTAATTATCGGATGTACCGCGCGGAGTGAGCCAGGCCTGGTATGAGGTAGAGTCGCTGTTCGGGATTCTTATAGGTATCTACTCGATGAAGGATACACTGTTTCGTGGTTCAAACGGTTAACTACAAAGAATATCTTGTTACAAGGAAATACATTAAAATTGCGTAGTTGCTCTGATGTTAACGATGCAAAAACAAAAGATGTGACAGGCGCGCGCGGGGGCCCAGCGGGCGCGGGCGGTGGGGCACGCGGCGTAGTGATGTTCTTGTGAACAGTCGCATTCCATTGTGATGCGCAGTTAGCTCGATCGGATTTTGGCCCTATTATTTCAAATAAATTTTACTATGGTATTAATACTACCCCTGGGCTACTATTCCCTTCTTTCGAAAAATTGTACCTACCCAAAACCTCATTCTTTTTTTTGGTATGTTTGATTAAATTTTAAACCAAAAAAAATTCTGTCATAAAAATAATACAATGAATAAACCTTGACCATAAACAAACTATTGACTTACCAATGCTTTCAAAAACTTTAATGTAAAAGTACTATTAGCTTTAAAGCTTTTTTTATGTCAAGGATGTGCGCTTACTTGTGATTTTGTTTTGATTGTGCGCAAATTAATAAACTTTGATTTATTTCATACTAGCTTTTGCCCGCGTGAAATTTTGTCTGTTACAGAAAAACTTTGTCACGCCTCCCTGTTTCAAAAACCGGGATAAAAACTATCCTATTTCCTTTCCCGGGACTCACACTATCTCTATGCCAAATATGGTACTTGGTTTAGGCGTGAAAGCGTGACAGTTACTTTTGCATCTATAATATTAGTAAGGATAATATCTACTCAGAATTTCGCCGATCACGAGCGGTTACGTGGCTATAGTACGCTTAGCAACCGGTTGCTAAGATCAGTTAACCCTTTATTCGGCAGTGGGAATATAGTTCCCATCATATTGTCCTTGTATATGTCCAAAGATATTTAAGATTTATATTTGAAACTTTATTGGCTTGTCTTGGTCCAAAAACAATGAAAAATTTAATTATGTTGCATGCACTGTTATAGAGTTAAAGCATGTCGGTGTAAAGCCCGGTCCGTGAACACGTAGAATTTTGTCCAATGACCCCTAGCTACCCATCCTTATCGCTCGCGCGTAATTATATTGCTGTCGCGACTGTGCGACTGGCACCCGCAGTGAGTGTGCGAGCGCGATAGCAACATAATTACGCGCGAGCGATTAGGATGGGTAGCTAGGGGTCATTGGACAAAATTCTACGTGCTCACGGACCAGACTTTAGTCATGTCTTACCGCGAGTATCTTCTCCTTCTCCTGCTTGCGTTTCTCCTCGCGGCGCTGAGCCGCTTGCTCTTGGCGCGCCGCGTGGGCTCCACGCACCCAGGCTTCGGCTACCTTCTGACGACGCTTCTCGCACTTGGCTAGAGCCTAGGGACAATCAATAAATAAGATGAATATCAATACTAAGGGAAATGATATAAAGTTGTTGTATTTGAGCACCAGATACTAAGGATTTTATTGGGTTTAAATGCCTGATTGCAAAAAAAAACAATACTATAGTCTTTTTCACGTAAGATGATCCGTATGACACTTCAAGGTTATCCATATTACGCATACTACATATAATATGCAGAATATATTTGAAGAAATATTTGTATTTTATTAGAAAAATAATAAAAAAAAATTTACTACTTGTCTTGAAATATATAGTAAAATCTGAGTCTATTGATTATATTTTAATTAAATACGATGTAAAAATATTTTTTATTTAATGTACGCAATGTGTGAAACGGAATAGATTTAGTGCTGGGGTATTTCTTGTATAATAAAATCGATTATTTCCGCGTTTCCTTAATCGATTGCAGTGAATACTTAGTCATTAAAAACATCACAAAAATCAACTATATTTTTCGATTATTGACTTTAATAAACGCATTGAAAACAAATTAATAGGTTTTAATTTAAAGAAACAGAACCAGTACTTTTTAGGAATCGTTTTTTTGAACACGAACCATGAAATTTGAATATTATCGATAAAAAATTGTTACAATAATATTTGTAATTAAAAAAAAACATGTTTTTTTGTTAAATAACACCTATACAAAATATTTCTCTAAAAGTAGGTTTTACTAACTCTTCGAAAAAAATCGATAGATAAATCGCTATGGTTTAGTTATGTGACATCTCTAAATCTTTCAATCTCGAAACGTCATACGGATCATCTTAGGTGAAAAAGACTATAATGTTACATCTTTCCACCGTATTTCGTTAGTTACAGCGGGGCTACTCCGTGGCAGATTTGGTGCCTCCTGTAACACTCGCGACCGCTCCTGTATCACTCGTTCCCGCTTCTGTCGCTCCTGTATAAGCCACCCCCGCTCCTGTATCACCCATCCCCGCTCCTGTATCACCCACCCCCGGTCTTGTATCACACGCCCCCGCTCGTGTATCACTCGCCCCCGATCGTGTATCACCTGCCCCCGCTCCTGAATCACCCACCCCCGCACCTGTATCACCCACCCCCGCTGCTGTATCACACGCCCCCGCTCCTGTATCACCCACCCCGCTCCTGTATCACCCCCGCCGCCGCTCCTGTATCACCCGCCCCCGCTCCTGTATCACACACCCACACTCCTGTATCATCCGCCCCCGCTCCTGTATCACCCGCCCCCGCTCCTGTATCACACACCCACGCTCCTGTATCACCCGCCTCCGCTCCTGTATCACCCGCCCCGCGACACTGACCTCCTTGCTGAGCCGCAGCCGCTTGATGCGCTCCAGCAGGTGGAAGGCCAGCAGCAGCAGCGGCCGCACCTCCGCGCCGCCGCCGTCCGCGCCCAGCGCGATGTTCATGAGCAGCACCCGCTCCGTGTCTGGGGGCTTGGTTTGAGCTGTCTCCCTGGAAGGAAACATGTAAGCTTTATGTCCGTTTTCACCATAATTTCCTAATTTTTAAGTGACCCCTATGAAAACAAAATTCCTGTTATTTGTTACCATAGGGGTCACTTAAAAATTAGGGATTGATGGTGAAAACGGGCATTAGTAGCTTACACGATACGGCATTCCTAGAATTTGTCTAACAAACGAATGAATAATGAATTGCTTAACTAATTGAGTCCCATATCTGTTAGAATAGAAACATGTACTTTTGAGCCTCCGTTAATCACAAACGAACGACTGAACCTCTTCATCAATCTGCGTTCATTCACGCGTATGTATGAGCCAAACTCACTATGTTCGTGAACTCGGTATATCTCTGAGACGCGTGCTCACTACTCACTGAACGAATAACTGAATGAAAGTATGACTCGCTCTTACACTATGAATAAATGATTGAGCGTAAGGGCTTGCTCTAACTTTGAACGAATGAACAACTCACTCCATCTGCTTCGGCCCACTAACCTAACCATGAACGAACGAATGAACGATTCTCCTGTGCATCTGCTTGCGCCCAGTGTGTCATGACGTGTTCTTACCTACGTCATATCTAAAGCCCGGTCTCAGAGCACGTAGAATTTTGTCCAATGACCCCAAGCCACCCATCCTTATCGCTCGCGCTTAATAGGGTATTTGACACCACCAATCAATTGACGTACTTTTTAAAACTGTCAAAACGACACTCGCCCATAGATTTTGTTCGGCAATACTAGCATGTGACGTCACAATTTTATCAACTCAATGAAAATACTTTTTTCAATTATAATGCAACCAAAAATCGTAATTTACAGGTAATTAAAAATTAATTAAGTTTTTAAGACCAGAAAGAAGTGTCTTTTTAAAAAAGTTGTGCTTTAGAATTATTGGGAAATGGTGTCAAATACCCAATTATGTTGCTGTTGCGCTCGCACACTCACTGCGGGCGCCCGTCGCACAGTCGCGACAGTAATATAATTACGCGCGAGCGATAAAGATGGGTAGCTTGGGGTCATTGGACAAAATTCTACGTGCTCGGCGACCAGACTATAGTCATAAACAAATGAACGACTCACTCCATCTGCTTCGGCCCGGTGTATCTATCCGAAATGTTTATAACTGTACACCTGCACCTGAGCCTGCGCTATGAACGAACGAATGAATGAACGACTCACTCCATCGGGCCGGTGTATCGATCGGAGATGTGTATGTACTGCACATGTGTTGCGTACTGGTGCAGCGCGGCGCAAGTGCGCGTGTCTAACACGCCGGCCGCCGCCTCGGCTGACTCAGACATGACAGACATGCTGACGGGGAGCCCAAAGTACATGTTTCTGACAGATATGGGCCATAACTGTCAGATGTACTTTTGAGCCTCCGTTAATCATGAACGAACGACTGAGCCTCTTCATCAATCTGCGTTCATTCACGCGTATGTATGAGCCAAACTCACCTATGACCTATAGACACGTGCACTGAACGAATGACTGAATGAAACTATGACTCGCCCCGTCTCCTCGGGCACTCTGTATCTCTTTAAGACGTTTGCGCGCTAACCATGAACACACAAGTACTTTTGGAACTAATCACTGGAATAGTTGACAAAGATGAGACCATCTGCTTAGACCCTGTGTATCTCTCTTAGGTACGTCTGTGCTAATCATTAATGAACGAATGATCCTTGAATGAATGAACGACTCACTCCATCTGCTTCGGCCCGGTGTATCTATCCGAAATGTTTATAACTGTACACCTGCACCTGAGCCTGCGCTATGAACGAACGAATGAATGAACGACTCACTCCATCTGCTTCGGCCCGGTGTACCGATCGGAGATGTGTATGTACTGCACGTGGGCGGCGTACTGGTGCAGCGCGGCGCAGGTGCGTATGAACGAGCTTGCACTATGAATAAATGAATGAGCATGTAGGCTTGCTCTTACTATGAATGAATGAACGACTCACTCCATCTGCTTCGGCCCACTAATCTAGCCATCGCCGTGCTTCTGCTTGCGCCCAGTGTGTGATGACGTGTTCTTACCTACGTCATATCTAGTCATAAACAAATGAACGGGCGTGTCTAACACGCCGGCCGCCGCCTCGGCTAACTCCGAATGAACGACTGATGTAGCGCGACGCACGCGCGCGCGAACGAAATGAATGAGCGTATATGCTTGCTCGAACTATGAATGAATGAACGACTCACTCCATCTGCTTCGGCCCGGTGTATCGATCGGAGATGTGTATGTACTGCACGTGGGCGGCGTACTGGTGCAGCGCGGCGCAGGTGCGTATGAACGAGCTTGCACTATGAATAAATGAATGAGCGTAGGCTTGCTCTAACTATGAACGAATGAACGACTCACTCCATCTGCTTCGGCCCACTAATCCAGCCATCGCCGTGCTTCTGCTTGCGCCCAGTGTGTCATGATGTGTTCTTATCTACGTTATATCTAAAGCCCGGTCTCTGAGCACGCTGTTGCTGTCACGCTCGCACACTCACTGCGGGCGCCCGTCGCACAGTCGCGACAGCAATATAATTACGCGCGAGCGATAAGGATGGGTAGCTTGGGGTCATTGGACAAAATTCTACATGCTGGGCGACCAGACTATAGTCATAAACAAATGAACGACTCACTCCATCTGCTTCGGCCCGGTGTATCCCTCTGAGATGCATCTGCGCTAATCATTAACGAATAATTGAACGATTCACTCCTGTGCTTCTGCTTGCGCCCAGTGTGTCATGACGTGTTCATATCTAGTCATAAACAAATGAACGACTCACTCCATCTGCTTCGGCCCAGTGTATCTATCCGAGATGTGTATGTACTGCACGTGGGCGGCGTACTGGTGCAGCGCGGCGCAGGTGCGTGTGTCTAACACGCCGGCCGCCGCCTCGGCTGACTCCGACATGACGGCATTTTGACGGGAGCCAAAAGTACATGTTTCTGACAGATATGGGCCATAACTGTCAGATGTACTTTTGAGCCTCCGTTAATCATGAACGAACGACTGAACCTCTTCATCAATCTGCGTTCATTAACGCGTATGTGTGAGCCAAACTCACCTATGACCTATAGACACGTGCACTGAACGAATGACTGAATGAAACTATGACTCGCTCCGTCTCCTCCTCCTCCCTCCTCCGGGCACGCTGTATCTCTTTAAGACGTTTGCGCGCTAACCATGAACACACAAGTACTTTTGGAAATAATCACTTAATGAACTAATGCTTAGACCCTGTGTACCTTTCTTAGGTACGTCCGTGCTAATAACGAACAATTGGACGAAAGAACGAATGATCCCTGAAAGAATGAATGAATGAATGAACGGCTCACTCCATCTGTTTTGATGCACACGAGTTCATGTATGGGCCTGCTGTAACTATGAATGAATGAGCCACTCACTCCATCTGCTTCGGGCCGGTGTATCGGTCGGAGATGTGTATGTACTGCACGTGGGCGGCGTACTGGTGCAGCGCGGCACAGGTGCGCGTGTCTAACACGCCGGCCGCCGCCTCAGCTGATTCCGACATGACAGACATGCTGACGGGAAGCCCGTGCGACTCGCCCGGCCGGCGCTCGGGGCAGAACACGCTCTGGGGGTAAAATTAAGTTTATTGTATGTGGTGCAATTAGTGAGATTTACTTTAAACTTAGAAGTTTTATTCTACTTATATTATAAGTGCGAAAGTTTGTATGAATGTCTGGATGTTGTCATGTCTGGATGTTAATATGTTTGTTACTCTTTCACGCAAAAACTACTGAATGGATTTTGATGAAACTTTACAGAATTATTGTTTAGCACCCAGAATAACATAAAGGCTATAATTTATGACGATCTGTGACAAACTACAATTCACGCGGATGAAGCCGCGGGCAAAAGCTAGTTGCTAATAATTACAAAACATTCAGCATATAATACAAGCAATACAACGCTTTTAAGCGAGGGCCTGTAGCCATCAACAACTTTCATAGTCAAGCATAGATTCATTATTAAAGACGGCTGCCGCACGACGTCCTATTGATGGGCTATCCATCCATCTAATTGTTGCCAACAAACAAAAATACTAGACAATGTTGTCAGCCTCTCACAATTGTTTTCTTGCATAACTTAACAATACTGCTTTTCTTTCTGTGGATGTTGTAAAGGGGGCAACTAGGAAATACACGAACAACACAAGAGCCGAAAAGTTCGGGAGTGACCTTTGATCAATGAAATAGTATAGATTAAACAGAAAAAGAGAACTAAGATCAGGTAAGGCGCTTCTAGCTGTGGTGGCAGCGCTTTGGTGACAATCACAATTGAAAAACAATATCGTAGAATTTACGTAAAAATCTACTTACAAGATCCTGCATCTCCTTGGCGAGGCGCGTGGCGTGTTTCTTCTGCGCCACGCACAGCACAAACGGATCGCCGTCGTCTTTGCCGAGCTCCACGCGGATTTGTAACGTGTCCGGCGTGGGCTTGACGATGCCGAGCAGAACGTGCACTAGGTCTTGGCGCTGTGGGAGAACAAACAAAATTATAACACCCTGTATCTTTAAGGCTGAGTTGCACCACCTAACTAACGATAACGGGTGTTTTTTGTATGGAGTTTGACTGATTTTTGACATTACATTTTCGTAGTAAAATTAAGATGGTATAACCCAACCTTGGACAGTTGGCAAACTTGGCAGTCACAAGATAAATATGCTTCTTTATAACCATCATCATCAAAATAGCACTTCACAGGTCTTATATCTTCCCAATTCCGCACTTTTTTACTCTGTCTTCGGCATGTCACATTCAGTCTCCAAGATCAGGACACTAGTCACTCCAGACTGGAGGGCGTCGCAAGTAAATCTTTTAAAAACATGGATACCAAATTACAAACTTTACTAGAGCTGATTTTCATGTTAACTGCTTCGTATAAGATGACCCACGTCCCAATCTGTTCCCTATTCTATAAATGCACTATTAGTTTATTAACATAGGGATCAAACTGTCATGTAGGTCAGTTATAACGCCTCTAACCTTGATGAGCTTGAGAGTGAGGAGCATTCCTTCGCAGCACACGCGGCCGCTGCACCACATGGTGAAGACATGTTCGGCCTCCCGTCTCCAGCCGCGCTCGTCCGGTGCCGCCACCACGTCTAGACCTGTTTCACCTGCAAACAAACACTAGTATAGACAACACAATCAAATAGGCTAGTTGGCTAAAAAAATTTTTTTAGTCCGTAATGTTTAATATCAAAAAATATTGGACACGTATAATTTTATTTGTCAATCTAACAAATAATTACATAGTTATGGTGCGTTGAAGTTGCGCACGACGTCACAACGTGCGGCATTTTTAAGCAAGCGTTGACGTCACGGGTCAGTGGCGGCGTAGCATGGGTTGGCACCCGGGGCGATCACCCCCCCCTCCCCCCGTCATAAGTCCTAAGGCACCCCCTGGTGCCCCCCAGGTTTTGTGGGGTTACCTACCGATTCAAAGATTGAAAGACAATTGCCCCCCCCCGTATCCAGTATCCATGACATAGGCAGCAGAATGCCGCAAATTTGCCATGCAGATGCGCCAGTGAGTACTAATCTGCGCGACTTTGTCACCCCCTGATGCTTGGCACCCGGGGCGGACCGCCCCCACCGCCCCCCCCTTACGCCGCTACTGACGGGCCTCTTCTTATGAACTTTGGGGCGCTTTATCTCTTTAAATTTTCATTAGTTTGAAAAAGTGAAATATACGAGTAGAGTATTTTTTGATAAGTTAACTGACGGACTAATTAAAACTCTTGCTTTTTGACCCAGGCAACATCCCCATTATAGAAATAATCTAGCTAAATATGCGAACATCAGGCCCCCCCAACCCTTCTGGCCAGCTTTGGAAATATAGTCATAATGCTCCATTGTCCTCAGATAAATTGGAGTCGTCGTGGTGACATTTGACCTAAATCTGAATATGAATGATTGATGAATAGCAATCATCAGTAGTTAATAGAAACATAATAAAATGCTTCTTCTAACTTAGGGCCGCAACAGACGGGCTGAAGTTGGACTAACTCACTCACACGGCATCGTATTAGAGGCTACATCTTCGTCTCAAGTCGATGTCACGTCATGAATTGTAACAATCCTCGTCATAGATTTCTCCGATACATGCGGACGTGGTAGGTACTCGATTGAGCCTTTCAACTGGTTGAATGATGCCTTTAATTGAATAGAGTAGTTATAAGCGTTCTTTCTTACATTTCTTACAGAGTCCTCACTCACCGACTAAAGTGAAGTTATCGTCTAACAGCGGCTTGTGCATCTTGAGGAAGTTGAGCGCAATGGATGTGTTTTTGGAGCGGCCGAGCGCGTAGCCTAACGCGTAGGCCATTAGAAGGCAGCATAGCACGCCTTCTAGCCAGTAGGCGTCCCAGCGCGGCCGGACTGTTATAGGAACCTAAAGGGATATTATTGTGTTAATGATTGTTGTAATAGTCTCTTCGTGTCTGTATGTTTATTTGTTTTAAGCCACGCAACGGATTTTAATGTTCATGAGAAAGGTTTTGATCAGTAATATTACACCCTTGCGAAACTGGGGCAGGTTTCTAGATTATCATTTATTAAATTCAATTTTCCTTTCATTAATTCAATTTTTCGGTCATAGATTTAAATCAGTGATTTTTATTTAAAATATCATGCAATAAAAATCGTGATTTAAATCATGCAACCCTGCTCTAGATGGGTACTAATCAAAAAATCTAAAGTATTATAAATTAACAAACTATGCAGGTACAATTTTTTTGTGTAACAGTGCGAAAACTACACAGAAGTACAATAATATTTATCTTTTGATAAAACATCTTAAGATTTTAAGACAAGATACATGTACTTCTTGCTTCAATGTAGGTTGTGATATCGAGATTAAATACGTTTAACAGTGTCTACAATAGTATTACTGGAGAAAACTATCTTTTATCTTTTTACCTTAGAAATAGTAATCTTTGGTTGTTCAGACGTATGAGGGGTACTGTCTGGTAATCCCTCAAACTCCTCAGGGTCTTGGAAGTGTTCAAATTCATTGTCCTCATCCTGAAAATAAAAGAAAAAGTTCCTTTAACTTTACAACTATAACAGGTTGAAGGAAAATCACTCATACCTATAAATTCTTTTATAACTACACAGATTTTCGTATTCTGAAGTTATTCTATCAAAGTATGTTTTACTAACTTTTAAAATACCAATTCATAAAAAACTTAACATACTTGCATTTAAACGTACTGCATATTTAACTTGTCATTTACATTTCTGAACAATGTATTGTTAGTTGTTACGTAAACCATTACTTATGCTAGTAATGTTAACACTCACCTCTACAATGATTTCATCTTCAGTCTCACTGTGAGCCTCAAAATCATTGTCTTTCGCCTTTTGTACTGGGACTTCATTACCATCTTCGATGAAGTCTGAAAAACAAATTACGTTGAACTGAATGGACGTTGCGTTGTTGTCAAATCTTTGGAACATCTTTTCTGGGAAAAACTTAAGGATGTTATTTGGAGAAAACCAGTACATTTGTGCACTTCTAAATATAGACTAGTCAATAACAGGTATTACCACTTAACTCAGTCTGTGCCTGAGGTATGGGCATAGGAGAGTGTTTTTGTAAAGTCAAACTTCAGCGAGACTTCAGATTTATATGCTCTGTCACGTCATAATATTATTGTGGCAACGTCACCCCTCCCTTGCCACTCTCATACATAAGGCACTGACTAAGTTAACCTAGGGTTTACACACACTGGAGTGGAAGTCGACCAAACGGGTTCCCACTCCTCCCTGATACACGATGCACGGTACATGGTGGATAGGTTTAGTGGGTAGGGTCCGCTAAATAGGACGAGCCCCACACACCTCCCAGCAACCCCTCGTGACTGGGAGACGGTGCGCAAACGCATTCAGACCACCGTAAAAAAAAAAAAAAAAAAAAAAAGGGTTTACACACACCGTTGATGGGCTCATCATCAGCCTCAAACTGCTCAAACTCAGCGAAATCATCGTCTTCTAGATTGTTCTCTTGAAAGGCTTGCACCACCAAGGCACTGCATAGTAGCAGTGCCACGGAAAACACCACCACGCGCATACTAACTGAAAAGACATCACAAAGTAGATCAAAAAATTGTTGTAGCTAGAGAAAAAATACAGGCCTATTGCCTTGAAATTCTTTATCAGTGTCCTTTGCTAGGTCATAAAGAAGCATAAAATTTGCTCAAAATTGTAACTAATACGTAAAAATTACAGTATTATCTTTGTTTGTAGTACCGTGAAAATAATAACTACAAACAAAACTAATCTTACCTCAAGGTTTAGAAGTAACACTTTGTATGGCTTCAGGTAAGCAACTAAATATATTATGTATTAATATAACTAACGACGTACTTAACGCTTAACTAATAATAAATAGGGTCAAAGAATAACCACAATAGCTGAATTTTTTGAATCTATGCCAGCCTTGAATTTAAAAATAGTTGTAAGAGATTTTAAATAGGAGTTTGAGACCACATGTCAGGAACATTCTAAGAGGCACGGGTATTAAATAAAAAAAAAAAATACCCCAAATATTTACAGGAAAGGCAAAAAAGAGGAAAATAGGTAAAAATGACTTGGTATTTTTTGCCACTTCTCAAAAAATACGCAACACAATTAATGTAAAAAATAGTTACCTGTACAGTTTACACTACGATAACACTAACTATATTACTTCATTAACTTAATAATTAGATTAATTTGTGAATAAACTATTTCAATGCGACAAATTTTTTTTTTTTTTTTTTTTTATCTACTTACCGAATTAGGTGCAGTAGGGGTCGAATCAGATGTGTGGGACTGAGTAGCAACAGGAGTTGATGGAGTAACAAAAGGAATCTCATTTTCAACAACTTTTTTAGCGCTATTTACGTTCTCTGTGTTTGCACAACAACAATCAGAATCATTAGGTACCTGGCTCAATGTAGAAGATTTGTTATGACGACTTTTACGCTTTTTATTACAATGCTTGCAAACTTTACGTACAACTACTCTCTTTCTTTTAGAAGGGTTAGAAGCACTTTCAGATCCGTCCGTGTCCATTACAGAACCTTCCGTATCCATACCTGACTGGCTACATGTTGAAATAGTAACAAAATTTGACGCCTGGGGGGTTGTCCCGCCAGGATCGTCCGGCTCGTTCATCACGAGAAAAAGCAATTAAAACTCACCCAGAACTGCAGAAGTGAATGCTACACTACAATAAAATAATAAATATAACTTAGAATACTACTTAATTATGCACTAAACCACCAATCTGATCCTTTTTCTAATTTAAAAATTTTTAGCAAGAAAAATGACGTCCACCAAGTACGACGTTTCCCGCGCTTTTTTCATGCGACAAATTCATACTAAAGCACTTCTAGGACATATCAGCTAGTTTTCAATAAGTGTTTTTGATTATAATACAGCAACACTATTGGCTAAAACAAAGTGACATACTCTTAGGAACCAATCAAAACTAAGATGATTTGACAGATTGTTTAACCTCTACAAATTGTAAATGAAAACATAACATGAAGGCACGTCACAAGACATCTGTCGAAATTGTTGCCAGTAATAAATAAATTAACCTTCATTTTAAAATAATAAAAAAAAACAGATTTTTATTACTCAAGTCAAGTCAAAATTTCTTTATTTGTTTAGACTAATAAATAGTTCTTACAAATCGTCATTTTGCTCTTAAGGAGCCTCTACATGTCTCATAATCTTTTTACCCTACCAGCGCTTCGAGACCAACATTTGGCAAGTGCTGAGAAGAAGCGCCGCAACAAACTCAGTCACCACTGTCTGCCGGTTAATATAAATAAATAGAAATAGCAGTAGTAGGTACATTCGATTCAGGAGCAGTTCACTGAATTTACCATGCATTCTTGTATAGTGTATCTTATAATGGGTATATATTCTGTCCCACTCACGACATAGGATGAATTTATTCATAGAGTAATTGAATTATTTATTTTACTAAATTTAAAAAATATTGAACGCCTTGAAAATATTAAAAGTTTTACCCTCGTATACTACTAGGTGGCGCAAACTTTGAATTCCATAAACGCTGAGTGGAGGTTCTATTGAAACTGCTTAGGTAGGGTAAGTGCGCTAGTTATCGTCCAATTATCGGAGTTGCCAACTTTGTGATGCGAAATGAATATCTTAAAATACCCTTACTCATATGTATCATATGTCATTTTAGTCCTTATATAGTCTACTTTACGTTAATATTATATGACAATAAGTAAATACCACGGGTTTTTTTATAAAAAATAATTTATGCAAAAGAGGCGATTTCACTAGTTTTCGTCCAAAAAAATCAGTTTTCGTCCTAGTGTACGCTAGTTTTCGACCACTGTGTAGAAAAAAGGGTGCAGTTGAATTATTAACTTAAAACCAATTCTTCAATACAGTAAGTATGGATTGTGGTATATCATTTGAAAGGTAATTTTGTTAGCTTTCATATGATATCAAAAAGATTTAAATAAGTTTCTTACCTAAATTTAGGAAAATATTTCAATAGGTCGAAGGACAAATGGACGAAAACTAATCTACAGGAATAGCTAATTTTGGTTTTCGTCCACCCCAGTGCTTGCACATGACGTCATGGACGAAAACACAACAACGTTTATAGCTGTTTTTTGTTTTCGTCCACATCTTTTTAACGGTTTTTATGGGTTTATCACTGTTAAAAAGGGGTCGTAAACTAAAATGTTTAAAGTAATAGCAATAAAGATCATATTGGAAGAAAAAACATTGTATTTTGTAGGTCCATTGAAGTAAAATGATTATTAAAAATATTAACTAGGTGTCAGGGTTTCCGTCCACGTGGACGAAAACCAAAATCTTGCAAAATTGTTATGCTAGTATTAGTCCACTTAATTATCTAAGATTTCTATACAAAAACTTTAATAAACCCTTAAAATAGTGTTTATTATGCTAATAATTAGACATACGTGCCAAAAACAATACGTAAAGTAGCCTAAACAGTAATTAAACATACCATGAAAGTTCCCTACCGGCACGTTTTTTTTTCTAACTTGACGACGTTTTCCATTCACCTGTGTGCAGCAGCATTTTCCGTAGATTTTTTTGGAGTTATTACTTGTCAAATTACATTTTCATGCAGGCAGAACTGTTACTTAGATATTATAGATTGTAACAAGTCCAAACTTGCACGGAAAGTTAGGTTTGTATTCTAATTTTCCGTATTTGTTTGTGGCAAGTCGGTCAAATGGACGAAAACAGGAGCTGGACGGAAAACCGGCACAATTACCCTAAAATGATGATGTGGTGTTTTGCTATTAGTATTATGCTATTACGTTCTCTGTGTTATGCTCGTCGTAAACCGGGTCATTTTCAGCACATAGTAATACTGCTATGGTATAGAACTATCTCAAGAAATAACAGTCCTCTGCACTATAATAGGAGTGTAGGATATTTCAACTCTCTCATACACCCACTCTCAATATATGTATGTGTGTGTACCTCCATAATGTGATATTGCAGAGGACTAATTTTCAATTCGGAACCTGTGTAATCTACGTCTGACAAAAACACTCAAGGTAGTTTATTTTCAAAATTTCAGGTCCCTAATCCAAAAATACTTATAACTCCCTATTCAGGTTGTTGCTAAGTCATTTGGTATTATATGTGGCAACAGACTTTTTATTAGTTTGTTGAACCCAGTCGTCGTATAATGATCCAGAGTGTATTGACATGGCAATCTTAAAACGAACGACACGAACAATCACAATATACTTACAATCGTTAAGATTACTATTTAAATGAAGATAGGATCAAGCAAGCCTCGTAACGATGCCTGAATAGGCGAACAATCACTACAAAAGATAAACTCAATTGCACTCTACCACGAGCACGATATTATCCTGATTTTTTCATCCAGCCACTGACAACAGTGCTATAGGTACTTAAAGTTGATATCGTCTTGAGGCTGTCGATCTACTAATACATTTATCAAGCAATAAATGTGAGCTTTTACCGTTAAGATCACTTAGAAAAATGTAATATTTAATTTAATACATCATCTACATTTCAGCCACAGGACGTCCACTGATGAACATAGGCCTCCCCCAACGACTTCCACATCGCACGGTTGGCAGCGGCCTGCATCCAGCGCCTTCGTGCTACCTTTATCAGGTCATCGGTCCACCTTGTGGGTGGACAAATTTATTTACTGCATAGCATTAAGCTCTGACGATATTTTACATAACTTTTTTACAGCAATATTGAGCTAATGGTCCAGTCATTATAGTAAGTTCACCTCGGAATTCGAGATACCCAGCTGTAAGTCTGTAAATACGTGTATATTGACACCCTAAAAGTTGTCTCAAAACCTACACATGGTAGGGTGTAAGCAACTATTAAATTTCAAGGTCAACGGTCACAAAAATCGGTTTTTTGCGCTTTTTTTAGAAATATCTCATTTCCTGTGGGTTTTTTGCTATTTGTATTTATTATCAATATTGTAGAATACTAAATTCTCTACAAATTTTGTTTGAAAACTTTTTTTATACGGTGAACCGTTTTCGAGATAGAGGGCGGAGAGCGCGCGGTCACTGCATCACTTCAGGTCTACTTAAGCGGTTTAGATTTTTCATACAAAAGGATTTTCCCGCTAATTCCTGTGGGAATTTCGGGAATTCCTTGTTGTAACTAAGCTTTGAGTTTACTAAGGTACCTACATGCCAAATTTCAAGCGTCTAACTTCCGTTAAGCGTTTAGATTTTTCATACAAAAGGATTTTCCCGCTAATTCCTGTTCCCGTGGGAATTCCTAAGTATACTATAACCTGCCCAGGAGATCCGTAAACGATCTAAAGTCGCATGGTGGCATAGTCCGATGTTTTAGCAAGCTGAAGGACACATAGCATACAGAAATGATCGACCGGAAAGCTCAGTGTAGAACGTTCTCCCACAGGAAGGCGCAGGTTGCAGGCCGCTACCAACCGGTCATTATGGAAATCATTGGGAGAGGCTTATGTTCAGTTGAAATGATTATGATGATGACAAAATATTATGGATGTATACTAAAGTTTCAAAAACATGTTTTTTCACGAATTGTTGTGGAATCGTTGCATTTTATCATAACAACAGATCATTGTTTTTGTTATAATATGATTATTTTCTTAATTTAGAGCCAATTGATAGATAGTGGCGCCCTCTTGTCAATGTCAATGTCTTGTTTAATGTTTTGTTTTTTGTATTTAAAATGTTGGTTGGAGAGGCACCCGCTGAAAACCAGCGTCGGGGCACGCGTGCATGCACGCGTGGCTCGATTAATGCTGAGCGGGCGCCTTTTTGGCACAAAATATTATGCGTGTATAGTTTTAAGTCCCTTTGTTCTGTTTTTCTGTTTTCTTTTGTGTCAAATAAAGTTTTTCTTATTCTTATTCTTTCTTATTCTTATTCAATTGTATATAAATATCATAAATTTTATTTCTATTTTTGATTAATATGTAACAAATTCTGATTCATATGGGCACAAAATATTTGAACGTCGATATCTTGAAAACTACTTTACAAAAACGAGTCCCTTATCCAAATATATGTTATTGGGTGTACCTATTTTCATATGAGTCTATGTTACAAACCTAAAATTGAATTTGAAATTTGTCCATATGAATCAGCCGAAGAATGCGATTTCGAAGAAGTGCCCTAAATACACGCGATAGAACTACATTAAAAAATTTACTGCGGTTATAAAAAAACAAATGAATCACCGCGAAATTATTCACTAAACCTTGTTCGATTCGCGGAGTTTATTGTTCCTGCCGGTTCTAAACAACTTATTTGCGCTGATTTCAATCTAAACTTACATTACGCCTAATATCCTCCTTCCGAGGTCGTGACAACTTACTCACATGCCGGTAAAGTAATCTTTTTGTTTACATTCTAATCTGAGCCCCGATTACGGTAATTTTTAACGTCTCCAATCCAGACACGCTTCTCGATTCTACGATACGATTGGTCGTTCAACAGCGTACGTCAGCTGTTTTGACCAATCGTATCGCAGAATCGATGAAGCGCGTCTGGATTGGAAACGTTAAAAGTTACCGTAATCGGGGCTCTGTATTCTTTGCAAAGTACTTACACAATGGAGGTTGCTTCTATATAGTAACATTATTGAAGAACTCGGACAAAGTGACTGGCTACGAATGTACGAGTTGAATCGATTTAACAGAGTTTCAACTAGCGATCCAACTCACTGTCTTCTTCTTCAAGAGTTCATTATATTCTTATTCATACACACTGGTAGCATTTTTTGTTTTCATAAAACAATGTCCATTGTACAAAAAAATTGCCAAACTGGATTATAGTAACTCATAGATTCTATTGTAGTTTCATTAACATATAGAATAACGGTCACAGCGTTAATGTAGAAAAACTATCAGGAGTTCAAAAAAGTTAATTCTATTTGTAATTAATAAAGCCAATACCGGAATCTATTCTAGATTAAATAAGAATTATGATACGATGAATGTGTAAGAGGTAGTACATCCGGTCTTCGTCATAAGACATTTAAAATTTAATTAAGATATTAATTAAAAAGTGATTTGTGCAAATCCTGCTAATGCCTAAAATATTACGCTTGTTATGACGATCGACTCGACCTTAGAACAAGTTAGTTATTATGCATGATACAGAAGTAGAAAAAATAATTATCAAATATTCGGCCATATTAAAGACTTCAACGCGTTAGAAACGATGTTAGAAACTGAATAGCGATTAAAAATTAAATAATTTCTTTTTTAAAGGAAGTAATCATTAGCATTAATTACGAAATTGTGCATTTGACTCTATTTTATAAAGTAAAAAATAAAAACTTTGTTATTAAGATAGCGGATTTTATAACTTAGTAACTTAAAACTGAGTTTGCATTTTTATTATGTAAATTCAAACCTGCTGAGTTAGGGTGCGCGCCATGATAAAATCTTATCGATGATTTTAGACGACAAACGTACGGGCTTATCGCGTAGAATCGATAAAATAGCGCGAAAAAGCTTATCGTGGCGCACATCTGGCCATACTGCCGATGGAAAGTTCAAAGTAGAAGTTTTCCACGAAAACCAGTTCACAACCCTACACCGTTATCACGAACGTGTATAATCACTAGTTTACTGCTCGTAACACCTTCTAAGGGTTGAACGGATACCTAACGGCTTATTCCCATGTCATTTTGCACTTTTTCCCACGCAACCGGAGAAATTATTATCGTAGACTACAGCACTTCGAGCTTTACAGTGCAGCATCTTATCCAGTTGTAATAGGTGTATAGTCTTACGTGCTATATTATAGTCCGTACAAAATATTCTGTGGTAATAATTTCAAAGATTTTAGGGGCTTCCATTTTATTACATTTGTTTTAAAAAATAAAACTAAGGTCTTGTAGGGATTTGGGATTGGAATTTGAAGAAATTGATTTAATATTTTACTTAGATACCTGTTTGCTTAAATGTAGAAGTACAGTAGCCTCCTACCCAACACATTTGGCTTAAAATATGAAGTACCTATACCTACGGTACTTACCTACGATCAATAAAATAAAAATTCAAAACAATGGTTCGCGTGATGTAGGTGTAACTGTCTCAGTTCGTGATACGATGACATTTAAAGTTTTCTGAACCAACTCAACTGCAGAATCAGGAAATAATAACACAAAAACAAAACTAGTACGTATTGCGAACGCAACCAGCTACTCCTCCTACTTACATCCGCAATTTTGAGGTGTAGTTGCATTCTTTTAAAATAAGTCAGAAACCTAGGTAGGTACCTGCTTGTTGTTCTGTTGCTAACGAACAAATGTTCTAGATTCGCTATGTTGTATTCTTTGATTAATTTATTACAAAGTTAATAAAATTCGTGTTAAGATAAAAATAATCATTACTATTAAAAAGAATAAGGTAAAGTTTAGTTCTGTGGCAGATTTTTCTTAAATTAGGTGTCTTTCTTTGTTTATATTATTAATGGAAAATGTTTGAAACTTAAGATTTTAGTCAACTAAACCTTCATCCTATAGATAGGGAAGTACGAAGCAGGATGTAATATTTTAGAACTTAAGAAGGAATTAGTCCTAAGTCGTACGTGACTTTACAATTTCTTGTAATGGTATTTAAACTCTGAATCATATTTTGCAGATTTATCCTTGACCTAATACTTGAGTAATATAACAAAATAACGGACCTACTTACAAGAAATATGACACATGAATAACAGGACATTGTAACAATCTCCATCAGGGAATGCAAGGTCAGCTAGGCTTCTTTGTCATCATCCTCATCATCAGTATACTCTCCCGTGTCCTGCAGGAGTGAAATAGTGACAGTCGTAGACCCCCTACAAAGGTAATATAATTTCTTAAGCCATACTTATTATATACTTAATGTCTGCTTAAGTACTTATATGCTGGACTTTGAATTGACTTCTGTCTGAGCTTTGCTACAGAATATGTAAGTAAGAAGTACTTATTACAAGTCTCAATTAGGTGCTAATCTACTTTGTTTTCCGCCCATCTTACTAAAATATCGCCCGCCCACCATACTGAAGGGCGTATCCTTGACCTATTGTTTATAGCTGCTTAACCTCGATGGTTGAAAACCTAACTGACTAACAAAGTTTGCACTGCACTACGATAACATTCCTTTACACCTTTTGTGTTTTGTATGACATCACAAAGGCATGACGTCACTAACACGTCACATCTAAAACAGATGACGCGATAGCAATTATAAATGCAGTCCCTAGTATGATTTATGGGCATTCGGTATGAAATTATCCTGGACATTGTTGAATGTCATTTTGGATGTCTTAAAATAAGAATGCCTTATAATAATAATATACAATTTCTGGGAATTATCAATTTAAAAACAAGTGTTGGGATTTACCAAAGTAAGATTAAATTAGATTTCATCTCTAAGGTCATTGATTAAGGAAATGTATGCGTGCCCTTATTTCTCTTTGTATGCTAAGTTACATTTTCCAAATGGTGAACCTGTAACATCACCTGGACATCACAACCTGGACATCTCGTAGTATTTGAATCTAGAAATGATACATAAAGATACCTACAAGAACAGACGTTATTAGCTACGCGAATTTGACCGCTAATTTTCTGTAAGAACCGTACCTCTGGATCTATGATTTAAATACTGTAATCCGTTTTTAGGTTTTTACACAGTAAGGCTATAATTTCAATAAAAGGAAAACATACAAACTGGCCATAATAAATATGAATTCCAATAAAAATTTCACACAGCACTGTGAATCCCATCCATATAAGTCGATCGTGGCCACGGCCGCCGCCAGTCGACCACAGTGCGCGAGCAACTTCGTCGCGAACCTAGCATTTAGTTTTGTTTTTACTTTTTTAAATTTAAATCGACGCAATGGCGTCCGCCGTGATCAAGTTCAGTGCCATATTAATGTTAATCGCCGTGTGCGCCGCCGATGTCTGTTAGTATACCGCATTTTTTTACATATTTTTAAAGTTAAGCTAGACTAGATTACTTACCTTAAACCTTTTTTGCAATATCGCAACATTTTTGATGAGTTAGTGCTATTATTTAAGTGAAACAGGTACATAAAAATGCTTCATGGCCTATTTGTGGAAGCACTGCACGAAAGCTTTGCTAGAAAATAATTAACTTTTAAGAAAAAATAAAACCGACTTCAAATGCGTGAACACAAAAAAAAACTAAAAATTAAAAAAAGTTCTACCCTTGGGGGTGAAATATTTTCTTCAAATTCGCATGAAACCACCCTTTTGATAATACCTATTCAACAAAAAAATAATCGTTCAAATTGATTTATAATCGGCGGAGATATTGCGTATAAAAAAGTTCATCCCCAATTTTCCACCCTTGGGGGTTGTTTTTTCTATTATTAAATTTAAATGGGACCACCCTTGAGGTATTACCTATACGCCGAAAAAAGATTTGTTCAAATCGGTTCATAATTGGCGGAGTTATCGCGTAACAAACATAGAAAAAAAAAACATACGGGTCGAATTGAGAACCTCCTCCTTTTTTGAAGTCGGTTAATACTCTATTTAAATTAAAAGACAATCGATCAATCAAGACATTCAATGATGACCAATACCTATATTTACAATATTTATCTTAACTGACCCACGGTTCAACTGCTAAATTATGTGAGTGTTGATTAAAAACTTCTCTAATGACATAATAATGTCAGTTTTTAGTTAATCTTCAAACTTTTAATATAGCTTTTTTTAACACACTAATATAAAAGGATCACTCGTATTTACCTACCGTCCAATTTTATTGAACAACTTGACATAAAATTATCATAATCTTCGTTTACACAAAAGTAATGCCTACTTTGCTGATCTCAAAGGTAACTTTATGAATATTTAATGCCAAGTTATTCACTTTATAGCAAGTTTAACCTTGTAAGAAAACTTTTTTTTAATTCATACCATAAAAATAAAGCGTGATGAGTAAATCGTTATTGTTAATACTTATAAGTTTTAACATTTTATAAGCATTTTTAGGCGCTGTTAACTTTTAGTGTAAATTATTTAAATAAAAAGACAATTTTTTTAAAGCTTATTCAATTAATTAAAAAGCTTTTCTTACCGATAGGTAAACCGATAATAAATCGATCTTTGTAAATTTTAAATGCCTAAAAACTTGGTTTAAAGAATTTTTTTTGTCTACAGACAAGTTTAACTAGTTTGTGATTGCATTTTAAAAAAAAACCTACAAGTAGATTTACATTTGACTTCCGCAATACAGCATAAATAATGACGATTAAAATGATCATAAACATCGAACCTGAGACAACTCAATGCTGACAAACATCGCATAATGACAGTTTAATGCAGTATTTATTGCAAATTAATTTCCAATCAATTACTCACCATTGTTAGTGATATGATCAGTATAATTATCGTGAAATAATCATAAACAATTATGTAGAGAAGTTAAAATTATAACGCCTGTTTTAATTGTTACAATTTGTATCTATTACGTCGCTTTAAACTAGGTGTTCATTGTCAAGCAAGAACTTGTGTCAGTTTAATTAATTAAATTACTAGTTGTCAAAAGCTAGTTTTTGGAACTAGTCTTACATGCACTTAAAAACAAAATAACTAACTTAATTTTTCATTTTCTATTTGTCGCAGTTCGCAATATAGTAGGTTTCAAAGTCGTATAATTTTAGAATTAAATAAAAAGAAGATGCGCATTTTTCTCACTATCTACATACCTACGTAATGTTTGTTTGTGTGTCAAGTGTCCGTGATGCGGTCAAGTGCTTGACATTGACACATAACGCAATATTATGCAAACAGTCAGTGTTAAGCTAAATATTGCTAAATTCTACTCTGAGAGACAGATCATGTACCTAAAATTGTACATACGCAAAAGCTCAATATAAAATGAATACAGAAAATCTTATATGTGCTTATGTACAATATACTGTCTTTGATAATATACAAATAAATCAGACGTACCACATAGGGCATTCGCTTTACGAATGTCTAGCTTTCTTTCATGAACCTTACCTACGCTTTATTACAACACAGAGAAAAGTAATATGTAGGTACCTACGAACAATTTTCAATAGAAAAAAGCTCCAAAATGTTTTTCTTTGTTTTGCTCTGTGAAGCGATTGCGAAATTGATCTGTCACGAAAGTTAACTAGATCATCTAGAGGGACAGCAAAGTATTCTTGATTTTACTAGTTTTTAAAACATAGTATACAGTTGGTCCAGGATTCTAGCTGAAGAGGTAATTAAAATATCCAGCTATCATGGCAATAAAGGCGTCCGGCTGCGACCGGTCGAAGACTAGACCTCAGACTCGTCCGACGACATAGTTTTCTTGTTCATAAATACATTTAAAATACAAGAAGGCTGTATAATGTAGCTTCTCATGTACTTTGTTTTGCAAAAATCGAATCCAAAATAGTAGATGGGTTTTACTCGTAAAATCTTATTTAAAATCGTTGAGATGAATCACTAGAATAGAATTTGATTATTAATATTGCATAGTATTTAGATGTTTGCGTTGTTAATTAAGAACCAGCCTTTGTTAGTACCGGTACCGGTTTCTAAAGTTGTTCCTTTTTAAATTTTTAATGAACTTAGTTGTTTTCTACAATATTGACTACACGCAACTCGACGCTCTAAAAGTACCTATCTATTGGAAGAAAACTAACATTATACTCAATACTCAATAGTTTATTGCTTTCATAATGTTTACAAAAGGTGTTATTGGTAAGGTAAGATACAATTATGGACCCCGTCGGGCACTGCATTTTAGGAGAGAGGAAGATTTTTAGATTTATTGCATTAATTATTCTATGATTATTAATTATCAAATTTATTTTTAATCTGTATTTATATTTATAACCAATTCAATAATATTTATAAAATTAAATATTATACTCATAATTATTTGAATATGGTTAATCTTTTATTTATTCTTTATTTCATAAAACTTTTTTTACATGACATACACTCGCTCGAACATATGTTAAATTACAAATTAATCAACTATTGAAATAACTTTTTGAGTGTATAATAAAAAAATATTCGATTCTATGGTACCTACAGATGCACAAATTAGCATGCCAGTTATAACAGCATCTCATTTATTTTCCCTAGCATCCGTGTCTTCTTTATATCTAATTTCCTTATTTACGACAACCGCAACCGGACCTCGATCCCTATCTATATTATACCTATGTTATTTATCTTAATAGCATAAATGATGAATATGACCTGTTGATCTGCCTAGATCTACAGCCAATCTGAAACTTATTAAGACAGGAAGAAATAAATAATTGTTCTAGATCTGAGTTCATAACGGTGTTTTAAAACTTGTATTAGTTAATAAAACTTTTAAACATTCAAAATATAAAATGTAGGTAACCGTAAAGTTTGGTAACAGGATTCTTTTTTGTGAGGGGTTATTTAATATTTTGGGTGAAGTTTAGGATTCATTTTAGGTCTGCACCCAAATAACATAGATACTTTTTTACAATTTTGACGCAGGAGCACCTGATTGTCACATGTTCATGAAGAAATTCTGAAAATTACGTGAAAATCTCTCTCTTGACATGAATAACCACTAACTATTGGCACCACAATTTACTTTACTTACAGCGTTTAAACAAAACATTGTGTTCTTACATAAATAAGAAAATTCTACTCTACTATTATACTTACATACAAAAAACCCATTAACTTAAACTAGTCATAGCACTGATAATTTCCATCATATCATTAATCTCAATTATTATACCATGCTTTGCAAATTGTGGCCATGGACCTATAAAAAAAGTCGGACGGATTCTCATCAACAATATACTGTGACATTAGGATACACCAGCTTGCCTGTACGTACAGGCCGGCACGCACACATTCACACCCTGTTACACCACTTCGAGTGCAAACTTCACACAGTTGACACATTTAAGCAGCGAAAAAACAACACGAATACGACATGTCTTGTGTGATGAAATTGTGTAAAAACCGTTCTGTTCGAACAAACAAAAATTAAGGAATCACATTTCACAGGCAAAATAATAATCCAATCACTTATTTCCCGACATTAAAATATTGAAATTAATTGAAATCAAACGTCATTCACTCGAAAAAATAATACGTCAAAGACCAGTGTTCTCAGTTATTTACGTGGGAAAATTACCCGAAATATGGGAAATTAATAATAATTTTAGGACTTTTTAGTTATTTATTACGCATACTATGGAAATAAAATAATTTATCATAATAATTGTGTTTTAATGGGATATATTTTCATAGGCAAATTTGATCCTTTCCAAAAATGTGGAACTGCTAAATTCAAATTTTCTTACATTGATTTCAAGTCAGTGTCAGGTTGTATGTTTAAAAAAATCTATCAGAGATAATAATAATATATTGATGATGCATAAGATTATGATTATAATATACACAAGATTCGTAATTTGTAACTGCGTGAATCATTTTTGATCAACATTATGTACATAACTACATACCCTGACACACTGACTTGCAAACAATGTAAGAAAATTTGAACATTGAAAATTTCGCGCCTACCTCAACGCATTCACCTTTCATCCTTTTAAAATGGCACGGAATAATTCTGTCTACATTTCCAAGTAACATCTGCCGATCTATGTTTTTCTTAAAATAAATGGGTAAAATGTTTTGGCTAACATGGCATCCCTAAATTCACTCACACAATAGACAAACGCCAAAATTTTGCGTCACAGTTTTGTTGTAGCGCGAGTTCCGTCCGCCTTTTTTTATAGGTCCATGATTGTGGCTAGGCAAATATCTCGAAAATGTACGGAAGCTCGTAGGTATATAATAAGTACGCGGAATAAACTCCGATTAAATCGTGTCGGAAAACCACAATAAAGGTGTGTACAAATTAGAGTAGACTTTGTGATCCTAGTATTACACCCACAGACCACACGTGTATTACACCTCACATAACAAACAAATCCTTTTTAAAAGTGATAGCGAAAGTTGGAAAAGTTTATCGCAATCTCAATGACACCTTCACAAATGTTTTTAATTCACCTAAAAACTTTGAATGATATTCCTTTTGAGCTAAGGACCACAAAAATATTTCTAACTACAATATTAAATGTACCTTCCGTAAAGTTTCACATTGATTAATTATTTTCTTCGAATGTTTCGAAAAAGTAGAACAATAAGAAGTTATTAAGTTTCTTTGTTTAAGTTCTAATGGGCATGCACCTTAAAACTTGATAAGCATCAAGTTGAACGAATCATTTCCTACAGTACCAGGAGGTACTTAAATGCTGTTTCGTTGTTTTTTTTACTCTAATCGTCTCCAATTACGCATTTTCACAACCGGAATTGTATTCTAATAGATTTTGGCATTAATTAAAAACTAGATTTCAATGACGAACTAATTTCGACGAATAGTCTAAAAAACATACACTTGAATTGAGAACCTCCTCCTTTTGTTGAAGTCGGTTAAAATGACTAAAATTAAATACTCTCTTTATGGGAACTTCATTCATTGGATCAAATTCATTTCTACAAAATTTTCTTGCTTCGAGTTGGGAAATATCTACTTTTTGACAGAACATGATAATCTTCAATGAAGATTGATTGGATCCAGTCTATTTTATTCTTAGCTTTCCTAGCTTTGTCTTGGGAAATACAGGAATGTTTATAAAAAAACGTGTTAGTTAAAATGTTCTTGCTCGAAATGTTTCGCGTAACGTTATGCAATTGGAATGATGACGTCAATGTTATAATGATCATTGTCATCATTTGTAATTTTAGCCTATTTGGTCGACAGTAGCTCTATTGAGAGCATCTTATTGTTGTCCAGTAAAGACCAATATGTTTAGCTACTACAGTTAGGTATCTGCACATGGATGTCTCTAAGATCTTGTTGTAAACCTTCCCTGTGCTGCTTAAATAGTATAAATCGAAAAGGCCGATGCAATCAACATTGCATTATCATGTGGTCACACCGACGCGATGCAATGTCCATTCAAAATTCGTTCTAGCAAAGTTTTCGGATCTTCGCATTGTTAACGTAATTACTTTTTCTCTAATTTGCGACGTTTTCTATGCCTCGAGAATATCAGACTCCTGTAAGAGGTAGGGACATCTACAATCTGGTGAAGGTCTCGGGAAGAGCCTGGATGCAGGCAGCCCTGGACCAGTCGTTATGGAAACCTTGGGGAAGGCTTTTGTGAAGGTGTGGAGTCTTAAGCGTCGCTTAGACCCCACTATTTCATCTATTGTTTGCTTGAGACGAATGAACCCTTCGAAGTTGCCTTGTTCTTCGGAAGCCCATAAAATATAGAGCTTTAAATCCTCTTTATCCGTCGTTTTGTTCTCCAGAAACCAAACAATAACTACTTACTTGTACATTTTTATGTACAAATGTGTCATCTTGGTTAAACTTGGACAAGGTCCAGTGAGTAAGCGCCTTGACCCCATCGGCGATTTACGCTCAAGATAGCGGATGCATGGATTTACCATACATTCCGATTTTACACGTTTCGAGGTGAATACTAAGGACTCTGGAATGATATTTCAAGGGTACTTTGTGGTCATACGATCAACAATTTCTTGTGAAAAATAGTGACTACATACTGCGTTAAAACACTGTGAATCTTATGTAGTAGTTTGTAATTTATGTGTGATTTGCAGTAATAATGTATTTAATGTGTTGTCGACTCTACAATTTAGTTGACTTAATGCCGCCTTTAAAACTGAATGTCAATAATTAACCTAAATATAATAATGAAACATTGTTTAAAATAGTCACGGTCCAAGCTGCGAGCACTCATTAATTAAGACTCTAGAACACCAAGTAAAGGCTCTGGAGGAGCAGTTCATGATAGACTCAATAAAAAAACATATCTTAACTTACATTCTTTCTGATTCCAGCTGAACTCAGAGGCAACCCGCAGCCTGTCACAGAGGTGTGCCTCGGCTGCATCTGCCAGGCTGTGTCGGGCTGCCAGAGCAGCGGCTGCGAGGGCGACCACTGCGGCCTGTTCCACATCACCTGGCCCTACTGGGCGGATGGCGGCAAGCCCACCATCAACAACCTGCCGGCCGACCATCCAGATGGTAAGCAAAAGCCATGTTAATGCAAGGGGCATTTACAATTGAAGACTTAAGAATCAATCGCCTTGTAATACCTATTTTACATATTGAAATTGATATTATAAATTATCTGTATTGTATAACTTGTTGGCGCGTTGGACTTTCTGTGAGCCTTCAAGCAGATTATAAATAAATACGTAAGATGAAGTAAGATTCCTTCCCAGGTTTGATTCCTCACTTCACTTGTTAGTTTTTCTTTTCAAGAACCAGAGTGAATTGCCATTTTGTATATATCAAAACTAAAATTCATCCAATTTCTAATATTTTGAACTCATATTATTCAAACTTTTGCTAATACAATGCCTATACTTAAATTAGATTTATGGTCCGTAAAATTATTCACAAAGAATAATTCTTACTTCTTACTCAAGGTTGCTAAGACGGAACCAGTTTTATATTTATATTTAGTAGGTAACTGGGTAATATTCAAATACCTACTAACACAAAGTAACTTGGAACCTACTTATACAAAAAACTAAAAAGACATGTTTCCAAAACATTCCGTAAAAGAATTTCCACAATCCAGTTTTTTAAATAACTTGAAGAAAATAAAAGTTTGAAAAGTTATTAAGCTTACCTACTCATTTTATTGTTATATGACATTGAAAGAAACATGTGCTTGCGCATAGATTTGACCTTTTGCTGTTCACAGGAAAAACCATTATATCACTCTTATAATATAATTGTGACCTTTGACATTTTACCATAAGCCAATTTAGATAATTCTTTATACCGTGATTTAGAACAAAATTATATATGTATTATGAATACAATTTATCAGAATAAATAACTACAAGTACATTATAGCACTTCTCCAATTGCCCCAAAATATTAGGTAAGGCAAAGGCAAAAGATTTAGTTTGTCTAACGCCCGTATTCACAAACGGTGCTTGCTTAAGTGAAGCAGCAAATCGAACACACAGCGTTGAATAGAGCTCTGTGATTGGTGTGTGCGTCCACGCGCGCTGTGAGACTTAATAGTAATGTTTGTGAATACGGGCGTAAGAAACGTTTTAAGCCAGTTTAATTTATGTAAATATTTATAATTTTCAGCATTCTCAAGCTGTGCCAACGACCCTTACTGTGCAGCCAGGACCGTCCAGAACTACATGGCCAGATTCGGACAGGTAATTAAAACTCTAAAATGGATTACATAGGTTCAAAAGAAAGAGAATGCCAAGGCAATTCCAAATAAACCAATTCGTCTATCATTATTACATTTACTTAGCAAATAAATATAAATAAGTATGTAACTATTTAATAGATCCTAATGGATTAAGTATTATTCAGTATTATATGAACCCACCAAAAACTTTCATGTAAAATGTTGACAAAACGAGACCACATAGCTCGCACTATGAAAAAGTTACCAGATCGCATGTAGAGCCAAGCTTCTAACTTTACACACCCTAACTTCACAAACTCTACATAACTTTCGTATGTACAGAAAAGTAATGCACAGTGAATAAGAAAGCGAAATGGCTACCAAGGAATGAGGGCTATCGTTTTAGCGCTCACCAGTTGGCGCCACTGTAGAGTAAGGTCCTGTCACTTGCTAGTAGCGAAGACAGTGGCGCCGACTGGTGAGCGCGAAAGTGGTAGGAAGACTATCGCATTTGCGCTCATCAAGATGGCGCCACTGTAGAGTAAGGTCCTGTCAATCGCCAGGGGTGCCAACTGTTAGTATAAAAACGATAGCCCTCTACCACAGCGATTAGCCGCTACCACAGAATAATAATAAGTACTCCGCTACTCATAGTTTTTAATAGATATCGAACTTAAAGTGGGTGTGGTATAGAGTGAATGTCACATCTGCACTTATAAAACATAATAGGTAACTATAATGAATGCGTGTGTTTTGATCACGTTAAGATGCAAATTATACTATGTCACCACATTAACATACTAAGCCAGCACTGACATCATCTGGGTGGCCTTAAATATCATTGGGCGAAACAAAAGCCAACAAATTATTATTCAATTGCTCGTCGATTCATTCAGGGATCGAGACAAGGTTGTATTTGTTTATTTTAAACCGAATGACCCGTCATACAAAAGCTCATTCGTTATGACATCAATTATGAGCAAAGACATCTAAATATTATTATGAGTAAGAAATAAACAGTAAGATGCGTTAAAGAAGCTCAAACTCGAAAAATAGACACAGGTCAAGGACAGAATCTCGGTTTGTAAATGCAATGTTTTGTAGAATAGACTTAAAGCCTGTATAAAATAAAAATAAAAAAATATTTTGATAAATTCAACCCATACATGCTCTTGAACCTACGTTTGTTTGAGTCGAATTTTCGATGTCGTTTCCTAAGACTTCCCAAATCCTATTTGCGCCTCAAATCCCTTCCTTAATTTTCAACCTAAACCCGTTCACTGCTGGCAACTAACATTAAAAACCTGTTTCATTTTCCAGGACTGCAACGGAGACGGCCAGGTGAACTGCTACGACTACATGGCCATCCATAAGCTGGGAGGCTACGGGTGCAAGGGTGCTGACCTGCCCTTCGCTTACGTCAATGTATTCAACCAATGCGTGGCCGCAGTCGCCGCCCAACAAGGCTAGAAACTCTACAATGACGCAGCAAGTGGTGTGACCATGGGGCCTAATACGCAAAACTTATTTTTGTATCCAGCCAGCATTTGGCAACTTTGGAGGAGAAACTTTATTCACAAGGATTTAATCAAAATGGAATGAAAATACTTTCCACCCATTAATTTTTTATTTTACTTTTTAAATTATTTGCGGGATTGGGCCTCAATTCTGACTGAGAACAATATTTTTTTTATGACCCATCATTAATAAAAAAGATCAGAAACTGTTTAGTAGATAAATAAGTATGAAAAGAATACTCGTACTTTTTTTTCAAGTTTAGGTTGTAACTAGTCTTATGTTTAAGAAATGAGAGAAAAACAATAAACATTGATTTTTTCAGTAAAATAAAAACTCCAAACTATGTTTATTGAAATAAAAGAGATTAATAAATTAAAAGAATTGGAATCATTTATCTGCCTGCCTGTTCAACGTTAATAACCCGTCCTATCCAACCTTAGCGTACAGTTCTTCTTCTTCACTTGTTTATCACAAGGTCTGGGGTAATGGTTGTAGACTTGAGTTTTTAAAGTATAGAAGCATGTGAAATCGTATCAAAGTCATCGGATTGGTCTTCATAGAGTTATGCCCGTTTTCACCATCAATCCCTAATTTTTGACCCCTATGGTAACACATCAGGAATTTTGTTTTCAAAGGGGTCACTTAATAAAAAAATAGGGATTGATGGTGAAAACGGCCATTAGAGCCCTAGAGACCTAGGTCTCTAGAGTTAGAGACTTAGAGTTACAGTTCACATTCATAAAGTTCTTTATACACCAGGGTTATGACCTCAGTGTCAGTTGTGAACCACACAATAGAATAGTTAAGAAGAAGATAAAAATACGTGATTGATTCAACTCCACAATGTTGGAAAACTCTAAAAATAGCAGACACAGTGACATATTTATTATTCGCTATGATTAGGGAATCGACAGTTGACAGAGTAGACTTGAAAACGATAGATAATATGAACTAATAATGGCTAATTTGTATTCTCAAAATGACCTTACCTATACACCCACGAAGTTTGTCTAACCTTCCACCAAACACCCTGTATATTTTAAGTCCGTCTGGCCAACTATCACCATCTTATAAGTTTATTGCCATAACAACAACGTTAAAAAGCATTGTTGTCTGTCTTCCAGCTGTTTGAGTAAGAGATTCGAGCCAGTTTCTCTGTGGTTGAGGATTCCGGATGAAGCTCGCGCTTCGCTAAGTAAATACTGGTACTCAAATACCCAAGGTCAATGTGTCAAAATCATCCGGTTATTCACTGTTCATTTCGATTTGCATACAATACTGAATTAATTAGTAGTCCCTTTGTTGAATTTATAACTCAAAAATATGTCACCACATTTTTTGCTCATTGATCATTTTGGCGACAGCTCTCATGAGACTTCTATTCCACCTACCCACGCAAAAATAATTCATCCACAGTACAATGGATGCAAAAAAGTATAATGTCGTCTTTGATCAAAACTAATAGGTACTTGTAACTTCAAGTAATTAATTCCAATGAAGTATCCAATAGCCCGTAGTTTTTTCGCTTGATTTTCGTTCTGGAACAAAATATTTAAGATGTCCCTATTTCATTCCCTTTAATACTTTTACTACTTTTTACTTCTTTTGCCGTAGGTACTTATTAAAAACTATAATACAAATAATTAATTTAGTTACTTTGATTTATCTCCACTTTGTAAGCTGAAAGTTTATCGCGAACTGAACTGGGGTTTTCCGCAACATGGACGATATTGGACAACAACAAAATGAAATTAAACTAATAGGTAATAAATTGGAAACAAACAACATGTGTAGTTAATGATAGTGTTGACACATGCTTGCTTATCAAATTAGCTATAAAACGATTGAACAGTTTGTCTGTATGTTTTTATGACAGAATAGGTAGGTAAATAGGAAAAGCACCAGTGCGACACTATGCTCATAGATATGTCGTTATTTCGGAAGGTTTAGAAAATTAACTAATGTTTCTTTTTAATCTTAATTCGTTAATTTAGCTTTATAGAGACTCCGTGAAGAAAACTTTTGTAACTTTTTATATCTTTCATTTCAATCTTTAGTACACACAAACTAGCACATCTTTAAATAATTGCTGTATGTTTTGTGTAACTTTTGTATTTTAAGTCCAAACGGGTGAAGCTGCGGTCTCACAACTAATGTTCAAATAAGTAATATTTTGAATCATAATATATTTAATTACCTAGCTGGTGCTATTATAAAATGCCGGACACCCTGATATCGCTGCTTTGTTTGTGAGAATTTATTGGCAAATCATCTCTCTCGTTTAATTTATAGAGTTATCCTCAAAAAACATTCACACTAGATTCAGAACAATGAAGTCGTGGCAACTGTTTCTTCTAACTCTACTGCTGGTGCTAGCGACGGTGAAGAGCTATGAATCAAATCCAGAGAAATACTGTGGAAGGAGGTTGGCTCAAGTAATGGCGGCGGTATGCGGTGATTATGACTCTGGTAAGTAAAAAAAAAACATGTTCAATCCATTTGCTAATATTTCAGTACCTCTAGCATGAACAACTTTAGTCTTCGAATCGTTTGCGTATTTGACAAAATTCGAGTTTCGCAGGCTGAGTAACGATTCAGCCTGCGAATTCAACGATGTGACAATTTTGATTGTCAAAATTAGTTTCATGCTACCATTTCTCATACTGAGTTCACTTTACGTCACTTTCAGAGGGGCTCGGTTTAAAGTTTTCATACTAAATCTTTTGATGGCGATTCGAATACGCAAACGATTCGAAGTCGAAAGTTTTTCGTGCTAGGGCCACCGTAACTTGTGTTCAAACACATTGCGACTTAAATCCGTTGCATCGGCATCGTGAGTGTCCTATAGCATAAACACAAATTAAACTCAAAAGTAAGAAAGTCTAAAGAATTGCAGTTTCATAAGCTAATAACATAGATTCAATGATGAAAAGGAAACGAGTGTTGATATCAGTCCAAAGCTGTCCTAAGAGACTCTTTATTATTTTAGAAATTCCAAAATAACTTTACTACTACTAAATCAAACACGTTCGACAGTAATTAAATTAGGTTGCGGAAAAATCGACCTTTTTAGAACTTCTTAAAAATGTTTTTCGCATAGACCCTATTACAAATTACTAGCTTTTGCCCGCGGCTTCACCCGCGTGAAATTTAGTTTGTCACATAGGTATCGTCATAAATTACCTATATTATGTGTTATTCTGGTTATAAACAATAATATTGTAAAGTTTAATCAAAGTCCGTTCAGAAGTTTTTGCGTGAAAGAGTAACAAACATCCAGACATCCAAACTTTCGCATTTATAATATTAGTAGGATACCTATTACTAACGATTGATAATTTGCTTTTTCCTAATTTTTACAGATGTCTTCCTGAACAGCAGGAGGAAGAGAAGCCTGCATGAAGAGTGCTGCGAAAGAGTGTGCACCCTGGAAGATATCCAAACATATTGTTAATTCTCATATTGCCAATATTGATACTAATTAGTAAAATAATAAAGTAAAAGTGCAATCGAACTATGTATTTTTAAAACAAGCTAAGTAAATGGTTTATAAATAAATAGATATTTTAAAAAGTATCCCCCTTTTAGGTACACGCACGTTGAACAATTTTAGTATAGAAAATAAACGTTTATTAGTTTCATGAGATTTTATTTCATTGCTGTACCTACTTATATAAAGAGTATGTTTTGTTATACATTACCTAATTTCCTTAGAAGCTAAATCAATTAAAGCAGCTTGTCAAAAGCTCCCGGATGCACGCAAAGTTCAAGCACACCGATGAATAAACCATAAGCCTCGCGTCCTAGATCCGCTAACAATAACACTGTAACAATAATATGTTCAAAGAAAACACGACAAAACGTTAAGGGTCTCCCGTTAGCATTTATTGATTATCTACAATAATATCATAGAGGAAAGATTGTTTGTATTGAACAGGCTACTACCGGACCGCTTTGAATAATTTATTTCACCATTAAAATTAAAATCCTATAAAATGGCGATACGAACTATACGAAGTTCGCCGGGTAAGCTAATTGTAAGTAGTAATTCTTAGTTTGAAGTTTCCTTTTACTTCACTGGATCTTTAAATCCTAATAAATAATACCTACCTACCTACAGGGTGTGTTTTATCCTCCAGATTATATTTCGGTCACACGGTCGAACTTCATTATATCCTTAGTTTTCATGAAGTTTTAGTTTTCAGCAAAATCGGCTTCAAGATCTTTCAGCATTTTTCGCTATTTCTTTCGACTTGGCCAATCTCGCACACTTGAAAATGTATCCATTAAGCTCTAGACGGGGGACGCTTAACAAATTATAAGTAAACCACAACCACGGCGCATAATAAATAAAATAAAATGGATTGAATCTCTGATGATCTACGCCGTTATAATGATCCTATAGTTAGCCTGCGGTTATCTATCAACTGCCCAAAGTTTTTTACGCATATTTTTTCTCTATTCCAATTCTAAGAATAATGAGCATTCTGATTACTATTCAGTAAGTGAAATTATAAGAACAATCTGCGTGTACCTCAGTATTACTTGAGGATCCAAACAATATTAACATGTTTTTGCACACTGAATACTATTTGTACGTGATTGAAGTGGTGAATTTGTTAAATTAGTGCACTAGATTTAAGTTTCATTGAGTTTTTACCATGCGGGTGCTGTATTTGATTGTGTTTTGTTTGTCTTCAGTGTGTGGTAAGTGATTTTTTAAATTATTTAATGAAGCTACTGAAATAACTAAGTGAAAATGGTAGCAAAGATTAAAATCTTTGTTTTTATTTTGTAAGTTTGTGAAACAGTATTCGCTACTTTTACTCTCTGTTATTCTTATTTACTTTTTAAATGTGATGTAAACCATCTAGCGTGGCGCAGTCTACAGAAAAGAATAATATGCCTATGAAGAGTGAAATTTTGACTTTATTTTCGTGACTAATAAACATTTAAGTTTTTTGTAAGAATTAAATATACTTACTAATCGAGCCTAGAAGAACTAACACCTTTTTGCGCAACTATTAAAAGAGATGCTATTTTGTTTTCTACACTCGGCATCAAATAAATCGCACCTCCCGCAACAAGCACTTCTCAAACGTATGCATCCCACTTCCCACCAATATTGGCACCATTTAAAAGCCTAATTCTAAACTTCATTTTATTAAAGGAAAGGTTTTTACCCCAAAAATGTGTCTTTAGAAGGATCCAAAGTCACTTCTTAAAAAAATAGGTGGTTACGCTTGAGCCAACTTTTATGTCTATGAAACTGTTAAGTTGGGATTAATCGCTATCCATCTGTTAAAGAGGACACGTGAGATCATTATTTGGTTTTGTAACCATAAAAATTGGTCTAATTGTCCCAGAGGTGAGCCCAAAGTGAGGTCTTTTTTCAAGTCACATTTATGGTATATGTTAATCATTTATTAAAAAATTAAATGTGTTTTTCTTTATGGATATTTATTGGGCTTTCAAATAACACCAATATTGGTGGGGCACCATGATTGTGTCAGAAGAAAATCTTTAAAGTTCGCGTCGCGGAAGGTGCGGTTTTTTTATGTTGAGTGTATTCTCTTGGAAGAATTATTTAATTATTTACAACACAATTTCTTCGTTTAAACATTCGTGATTTAACGTGAACGTAGCATTCAAAGGTGGCCATAAAGATGACAAATCTTTATGACCACATTGGCTACTTTGGGTGTTACGAAGTACGAAATATTTGACGCTGACTGTACTCTACCACTTTCAGGAGTATACATATCGAACCTGAGCGGGGCATGTCTGCGGTGTCTCTGCCACGTGGCGGGTTGCGACATGTCGCACGGGTGCACTGACGGATACTGCGGGCCATTCTACATCTCCCGTGTGTACTGGGTGGACGCGGGAAGGCCTACGCTGCCCGAGGACAACCCAGACCGAGTGGAGGGTAAGATTCGCAGAGCATACTCAATTAACTCATAGAGTCTAGTTCTTGCATAGTCCACATGATGTTTTGAACCGATAACAATAATTAAGTTCAAAGTTTTCTTCAACTTAATATGGTTTTATTTTAAATATAATAGACAAACATGGGTTTCAACCTTTCAACGCGACATGTATTTTATTCTTCAGCATTTGAGGACTGCGCTAAAGACTACTACTGCTCTATCAAGATTGTGGAAAACTACATGGCGAGATTTGGAAAGGTGAGCTTTAAAAAGCTTGTTATCTAGCACTTTAGCTAGGTATCGGGAATATGTTCCCGTCTAACATTTTCAGCGGTCGTTCGTTCGTTCGTTTCAGCTGAATTACGTCCACTGCTGGACAAAGGCCTCCTCAAAGGTTTTCCACAATGAACGGTCCTGCGCTGCCCGCATCCAGCATTTCAGAGGTCACATGACGCTAAATTCTGAAAAAAATTGACGAGCAGCGGCAATCTATGATTTTCATAACTACCGGTCCTGCACTACCCGCAACCTTCAACAGATCGTCGGTCCACCTAGTGGGGGCTTGCCCAGTCTTCAGTCCCGTGGTCGCCACTCGACTTTTCTTTTTTCTTCTAGTCTCTGTAAATTCTTCTCTGTGAAAATCTTGTGAAAAGTCACGTGCCGAACGGTGAAGGGGTGGGACTGGGCCGACTCGCGATCCATCCCCGGCAATTAACAGTCACCACAATTATGATGAACCCACTCGTTAGCATATTTAGCTTACCACCAGGGGTTTAAAACTTTTTCACTATTATTTAAAAACAATCTAATAATATTTGAATTTCCAGGACTGCAACAAGGACGGCGTGACGGACTGTTTCGACTACATGATGATCAACTACCACGGAGGGCGTGCGTGCACCGGCCCTCTCTTCCTCACCATGCATGGACTCCGATGGCTCAATAAATACAAGCAGTGCAAACTTTAATACCTTACAATAGACCCAATAAAGACTTCAATAATAAATAGGTATATTGAGAGCGCCGACTAAGGCTTCAATAAACTGTTGGAAGCGAATTTTTAAAATCTCGCTCGATTCAATGTCAGAATACATACAATTAGGTATATTTACCTACCCAAGTTTACACAACAACTTCTCGCTTACATAAAGTAGAAATTATAAATTTACGTTCATGTTATCGGAGCTGAATAACAGCCTTTTTTATTTTATTTCTTAATTCTGTTAGTATAAAATCAAACAACAGAACAGTTAGGTATACCAGAAATATCTTCTTCAGTTACGTTTATTCAATTACTTTGTAAATCTAAAATTAACCTTAAAACCTAGAACAGATATTTATATCTTTTTATACAATAAATATTTGTTAGGTATTTCTTCTGTTGTCCTTTTTGCTAATAACTTTAAAACAGACATAACTCGTACAAATATAGCTTTTTAACTTTAAACTATTGCAATTTTGCGACCGAAAACTTATCTACTTAAAATATCTCTTTGTGACTTAACCTTTAACAGTCAAAAAAACTTCCATACATTTCTTATATTAACTAATTACAAACTTAAAATAAGCTTAGTTTAAAATAGAAACAGTCGATTTACATGAGGCTCAGGCGAAGGTGACGAGCGGAGCGGGCGACTGCCACTCCTCGCTATCCGCTTCCTCGTCTGATTCTTCGGGGAATCGCACCTGAAATGGGGAATTTAGGTTTTCAATGCTATCGTAGAATACTCCTAATACAAGACGTTCAAGAAATAAATGGCGCCACATGATTTTTTATTTCTTTGAAACAGTCGATTTTTTTTTTCATTTTGGGAAAGCCGCCCCGCGTTGCGGCATAAGGCGGGGCAAAAGAATACTATCGTAGACAGAATTACAATAATTTAAGACTGTAGTTGTCACACAGTCGCTGCCAAATTAAAACACAAAGTCAAAAAGCAATTTTGCCTGACCGTAGAACTAAAAGTTCATAATATACTAAGACTGACTCTCACAAAAATCCACACAACATCTTATAATAATTTACTTACCCAAGGTGCTAGGCGCATGGCAGATGACTGCAGTGAGCCTTCTTGGTTAGCTTGCCATGCCTGAAAAGAAAAACACATAATTACTTATTTAACGCACAAGGCTGTTACGGCGCTAAGCGCAGGAAAATCAGGGGAAGTCTTGTCCAGCAGTAAACGTCAGCTCGAAGATGATTTGTACTGGAGGGAAGTCGAACCTTAACTTCAAACTCCTGCTATGTTCTTCTGATTAATTTAGTTGTGGGTCCAATGACAGTTTAACTTTCCCCCGGGACAAACTTGATCTACACTGGTCGGGTTTTTATTGGCCGTCAAACTGTAATCCTGGCTACACAGGTGTTGCAGCGGTGGGAACGAGAGGTGGGAAATGTTTTTTTCTATTATATTCTTATTTATTATTGAATGCACGGGATGTAAAGGCTAGATACAGAAAATCAGTGAAAGGCCTTTGTCTAGATGTAGTCTACTTTGAAAGAACACCCGCCTAAATAGCATATCTGGAGTGGACTAGTCCACATAGAGCACTATCGATATGGCTATTCTTGGATTTCAATTTATTTGTACATTTTTGTTCACGAGAGAGAGAACATAATATCGATAGGTGCTCTATAGCCTAATCCAGGTCCAGGTGCTATTCGTGCAGGTGCTATTTGGGCGGGTGCTCTAAGTGGACTACATTTGTCCAGCAGTGGACGTCTCTTACCTGGTAAGCGTCATTGAACGCGTGCGCAAGCGACAGGGCCAGAGCGCGCGCCTGCTTCCGCCTTGCACAGACGAATACGTGCACCACGTGGGATTCACTGGCACCGTTGGCTGCCTTGCCCTCCACCACAGCGAATACCCTCGCATTGGCGGCGTCGGCTGAGCAGTACGATATCCTGAAAAGGAATGTCAGACATTTAACAGTCAATTTAAGTTCATGATTAGCTGAAAATCTGAAACGGTCTCTTTCAAATTAGACGTTTTGAGCCGGACGTTAGTTTTAAAATTTTATATGACAACTACGCTGGAATAAAAATATTTTTTTTAACGCTCTGCTCAAAACGTCTAATTTTAAATAGCCCTTAGGTTCCACAAACTTGCATTATTCTGATACAAAATAATTTTAAACTTGAAAAAGACATCGAATCGAATTACTCGTAGAAAGAAAGGAGAAGAAAGGTCATAATTGAGCTCATGACTTTTCTCTTGCGAACGATTTTCTGACTAGGTGAGCTACATACATACACATTATGCATTTTTTTTAAAACTTCACTGAATCAAAGTTAACCAAGTAAAGAGGTATTGGAGTATTTTCTCATAATCAGTTAAGTTTTGAAAAAAAATGCATGTGACGTTATTGCACCGTAGGTGCGATATGTACTCGTTATAGGTATGTATGATGAATTTGTAATTAAAATTACAACTTGAAATAAAGTAACTACATAGGTTTGGCAAAACTAATACGTCTCTACAATAAACAACAAAAACGTGTTCGTTTTATAAATAGGAAGTCCGACAGTCCACTTGACGTTATCAAAACATAAATATTGATATCAAATTATCAAAGCTAAAAGAAGCCTGTACCAGCTGGTGCCAGCACTGAAAACAATATTTCTTAAGAGATAACGGCGGCCGTGTACGACTCAGTTCGACATTGATTTATTGGTTCAATAACATATTTTTATAGAAATTATTATTTAATTTTCTGAAGTAAACTGTCGTATAATAATATCATTTACAAGACCTGTCGATCAATTACGTCTCGTTAAGTAATTATGGACTCCGAGATTCAACTTTGCGTTCTTTGATAGACAGTCTTTACTTTTAAATTACTGTCATCATCATCATTTCAGCCATAGGACGTCCACTGCTGAACATAGGCCTCCCCCAATTATTTCCACAATGGCCGGTTAGTGGCGGCCTGCATCCAGCGCCTTCCCGCTACCTTTATGGGGTCGTCGGTCTACTTTGTGGGTGGACGTCCTACGCTGCGCTTTCCGGTACGTGGCCTCCACTCCAGAACCTTGCTGCCCCATCGGCCGTCAGTTCTGCGTACTATATACCCTGCCCTTTTAAATTATATACTTAGTTTATTTCTAATATTTGTTGTAATGGCTTTAACTTACCTATAAATTGAGATACTCAGGACACTCTCCTGCGACTCCGCGTCACTCACGACGATGCCTTTGGAGCTGATGTCCAGGTTCACCCTTTGCAGCTTTTTGTTGAAGGCTGAAAAGCACATTTATCTGCTTTACAATCATTCGATGTCAAATTGTTTCATACCAATCGTATCGTCGTAAGCATCAATCCTAAAGGACATCATCTATTTTGGTCCAAAATCAAAAGTGCCAGCCGAAAAAAGTGCTGTATTCTGATAGATCACGTCCGCTTTAGCATTTTGTTAAATCAAAATCAAAAATATTTATTCGGTTTAGACCACAAGTGGCACTTATGACGTCAAAATGTAATAAATAATAAAAAAAGAAAAGGTAGCCCTCATGGGGCACTTTACATGTCTCCTTATCTTATGGGCCCTACCAGCGCGCAGCGCTTCGAGACAAACATAATATGGCAATTGCTGAGAAGAAACGCCGGAACAAACATCATGCCACTCGGTAGGTTACATCATGCCACTCTAATCTTTTATAGCCAAAAAGTATACTTATATATTCGCAATAGGTAGAGAGATCTTTCGCTGTAACGTGCATCCTTAGCGTGCATCGAAGTTGAGTAGTTCTATATTGGCTTCGCAGAGACGAATTTTTGCTTAGGGCCTTTTAAAATTACCAAAGATATTACTCCTACCTTTAGCGGAGTGTAAGGCAGAGCGCACAGCAAGAGCGGTAGCGGGAGCCGACGATGCCCGCTCCACCGGTGCTACACCCGCATATCTAACGTCCATGTGACCACTGCTTGACTCGCGCGCCTCTCTCCACCAGCCCTCTCCCTCGCACTCAGCTAAGGCCCACTCTTCACACAGTTCTGAAAGAGAATATAAAAACTGCATGAGATGGAGCCTGATGCAATGGGGGCACAATCATGCTACATATTTTCATCATCATCATCATCATTTCAGCCACAGGACGTCCACTGCAGAACATAGGCCTCCCCTAATGACTTCCACATCGCACGGTTGGTAGCGGCCTGCATCCAGCGCCTTCCTGCTACCTTTATCAGGTCGTCGGTTTGCTACATATTTTGACTGGGTTAAAAGCTTGACTCTACATGATATCGACGTAGAGTTAGGGCGGGCATATAGCGTTAAAAGCTTGGCTTTACATAAGCTCAATGTAGAGTTAGGGCTGTAGTGTTAAAAGCTTTGCTCTATGTGAGATCTGAAAACTTTTTCACAGTAGTGTGTACCATAAGCACGGTTAGTCTTGTCAAAATTTACATGAAAATGTTTTTGGTGGGATTGAAACCTCGCGGCCTCGTAGTAGAAGAGTAGAAGGTCCTTTAGATTGACTTATTCATCATCTAAAATTTTCCGCTTACACGAAAATGGTGGGCTTTGCTTAAACAGTTAAGAGTACATACATGAAATTATTGTTGCATGTTGTTAAATATTCAAATTTTTAAAAAAGCCCTTTCAATTCTGATTATCTATACATTAACGGACGTTGTCGCCACTGGTTATTAGCGACATAATTTCTCCACAGCTAGACTCGGCAATTTTCTTCATGGCCAGTCACATTAACTTATTACAGATTACAGGTTGTAGCTAGTTTCGCAAACGGCGTCTACGCAGCGGCCGTTGATCATGCAAATCACTCCAAATCTCGGTTTAATTAAGATCGATATAGCGGAAAGAAAATTTAGTCTAATCTCGTAGAACTACGTTAATCAAACCTAGAATCGGACTCAACAGGAATAAATTACTGTATACACTTGTAACATTTCAATAAATACTTATAATGCCCCTTTTCGTTTGGTAAGTTGATTGAATATGCATCAACATAAGTTTGTGTAAAATAAAAATGCTTAAAATGGTTTATTGTTACTCAAATCAAATTAGGTAAAAAATTAGTAGGAATATTGAAACAAAACAAGATTTTATCAAATACTTTTATTCATGTGTTTTATTTATGTAATTTAATATCATCGATGTTTTATCTTTTCCGAGAAAAAAGTATTGACTTCTAACTTGTGATTTTTGGTTACCCTATTTCTACACCGCCTAATATGCTAAGAAGCTTTTAAAATGTGGCTTAGATAAATTTGTAATTATAGGATAGACATCGATTTCATAAGTCTGCGCTTTCATAGGCTTTTCTAAGCAAAATTAAAAAACCAAATGGTGTACTTTCTACGAAATGTATTAGGATCATAGAAATAGGTAGAGCAATAAACTTAGACCGTATCCATCATCATATCATGGTTAAATTTTAGAGTTAAGTTTAACTAACTATGTGGGTTTACACCACAACCTTTAACTCTTGCGAAGGAAATTATTTTGGCAGAAACACTGAAAATACGGTATTAAATATAGGTAGGAGTGGAGTGACATAATAAACAGAATTTATGAAATCTTTTGCATTTTGGAAATGATTGTTGTGTTCCGACAGTTAGAGGTAAGATAGCCAGTTCCTCCGTGGTTGAAGATTCCGGGTGAAGCTCGCTTCCACCTTCAGCCTGATCATCACTTACCATCAGGTGAGATACAGGCCAAGAGCTTTCTCGTTGTGGATAAAAAAAGCTTTCATGTTTACTTTTACCAAGTAGGTAGGGGCAGTATCTATAGGTCTCTACATACTTTATTATGGGTCTAAGATTATCCTCAATGCATCTAATGCGAGGCATCAATCAACCGATGTTTACATACGTCAGTGAAGGTCTCGGGTCCAATATTCGCGAGATATCTCGGCGGCCGCTTTACTATTTCAGATACGTTATCTAGGCCAGACTGCGCGCGCGCAACTGGGTCATAGGTCAGTATTAGGCGCAATAGCCAGGGCCGGATTTAGAGGTCTGGAGGGGCAACAAAGAATTGGAGAGGAGCCTCCAATTCTTTGGCCCTAAATTATTTTCCAAATAAAATGGTAAATTGTTATTAAAATTTTTTAGCGAATAGAGTCGCTTCTCAAACTAAATTTTAAATAAACAACTTGAAAAAATCGACTCTAGGGTTCGAGTCCCTCCTTAGGCCTTCCAAGTTATTTATTTTAAAAAAATGTATTTTTTTTTCAGTCGAGTATTCAATAAATAATTTCAAAAAAAAGCGAAAAATATATCAAACGAAAAGTAAAACCTTTTAGTCTAGTATTTACTAGTCTGAGTTTGTTTTTTTACCGAAGTCTATAATATTGTGGAGGCCCAGTACTGTTGCCCCGGTCGCCCTCCCCTAAATCCGGCGCTGGCAATAGCGTCGAAGAACTGATTGCGATCACGCTATCACGCAGCGGACGCGACGCGTCTGCACCGTTGCAACCGCGTAGGTGGTATTACGCATTTGATTCTGCAGTTGGTATAGCAAATTCTGCGATAAGCCCACGCGTTAACTTAATGTTTGCAGAAAAATTAACCGTCAAACTGGGTTTCAGTGGAAATTCAGAGGAAACTTCATAACTTGCAAAGCTCGTGAAGCACTCATTCTTTACTCGGAGTAAGTAGGTGAGAAAAGAGATCGCTTCCTAGTGGTATTTAAGCACCTAAATTATTATTTTTCCTTATTTATTTACTTATTATTACATAAATTTAGCCGTTTCATCTCCGGACACTATACCGTTACTTTTATATTTCAGCTTCTTTGGAGTGGACTCTGTCAGCTTTGTCGATTTGGAGAAATTAAATTGTCTACCTGAATAATTATACAAACTAGGTAGATTCAACAAGGACAAAGTTATTTATATCCCACCTGGGAATCGAACCCTGAGCCTCCGAGTCAATAGACTCTAACTACGAAGACTAATAAATACCTAATTTAATGTACTTATTACATTATCTAAAATACACAAGGATATTGACCTGAGGTTATTTGCAGACTAGAGCGCGCTCTCATTTTGTCAAACTTTGAAATATGAATTTGATAAAAGCGACCGTCTACCGCACAGTTCAAGGCTGCACGAATACACAATAAAATTAGAACTATAACATAAACAAATAGACTAAAGTTACATTTTTTATGTGTGTAATAACAAATGTTTTTATATGGTAATTAGTAAATTAAATATAATTTAATACGTATCGTATCCCAAGGGCAATATTAATATTGCTCTTTCCGTATAGTTTCTTTTGAAAATTTTATTGACATCCCTAAGATTACTTAACTCAAATAAAAGGTTTTTTTAACTTTGTAATTCTCTACTCGCAAGTTCAAACCCATACCAAATGTAAATAAAAAGCTCCCTAAAAATGGTCACGCACGCGTCATTATTTTCTGCAGCACAACAAAGGACGTATCCAAATGATATGCTTACTTTCAACTTTTTCTTCCTGAGTCTATCAGATAAAAATGTTGTCATACTATGTTTATAGTTTATATTTAACTAATCTTTCGCAAGTTATCCAGCTACCCTGCCCTACCTGTCCTAATACCCCTAGAATCTGTAGATAACTACAGATCCGTATCGAGCTTAATTTTACAAGAATGCTGTCGCGGCAGCGAGCCCGTGCTCTCTATATGATCACTGCCTTTCATCCAATTAATAATTCATATTCATAGGAAATGATCGAGCGATCAATGGAGCTAAAAAACTAGATCGACTTCAAGTCTAAGCTGCAGCTTTCTCAAAACTGGAGCTGTGAAAAACTAAGCTCTTCAAGTATGTAGAAGCTTTTACACGAAAAAGTTAAAATATAAAATATCTACCTACGTGTAGGTACTTTAAAGAAATATATTTATTCTACCTAAGCTGAAATAATGACTGTCTCCAATTTTGAACTGTATTAGCAATATAAACTTATTTCTAAAAATTGTAGAGTCAAAATTGTAAGTTACTTAAGTTCATCAATATCATTAGCCATGCCATCAACGCGCGCGTGCAACATTTTACAAAAATGGCATCATCAACACACGCAAGGAAAGTCCGTTTCTGTGAACAACGCTCCCTTTGAGTAGGCCACGCTGCTCTTCCTGCACATACCAGCGATGTATAAACATCGATAGACAGACAGCCAAGAAACTTACAGGACAAGTTTTTCCAGCCGTTTAAGGTTAGTCGCGAGAGCTCCTAATTCCGATATAATTAGAGAAACCAGCGGTGTTTGAGCGCCTTATGGGCAGATCGAGGTCCGAACTTGGTAGATATAATGAACACATAAAAAGCTGCGACTTGGAGAGAAGTAAGCTGTTGCGGTTGTGCCTTTAATATCGGATGTGTAGGAGAAAATTATTATTAGGAATCTGTACTAGTAGGTATCATAGCTCTAACTGTAACATGTTAATTATTCGTGATCTTTCTTTTTGAAAAGTAACTTAGGTAGAGGTATTATTACTGAGGTACATAAAGGTAATGATTGATTCTTTATGTTTATTGGTTAATATTATATTGGAGCGCATAATATAATGGAATAGTTTTTCATTATTATTCGTATTATCACAACTTTACTCGTTAAACATAATGAAGTGGCTATTTACTTACATACAATTTTATAATGATGTATTATCGTAAAATGTCATCAAAAAGTTAATTTGTTATATTAACTGCATATTACCACCACCACTTATAGGGTTATTCGCTTTTTAATAATATTTATTCTTGAGCAAATAGAGTAATACCAATAATATATTACTCGTTCTGTTTGCTTTACTGGTTAGTGCATAATTATTGATAAATAAATTAACATAATTATTGTCAACAAAATGAAATGACGGCAATACAAGAAACAAAACAATAATAAAGTGGAACTCACTTGATTTGATTAAAAGTTGATAATTTCTCTTACATAGAACTTCGTGTTTTCTTTTTTATTTAGTCAACTGCGTTATATTTATATTTAAATAAATTAAAACAAAATACAAAAAATTAAAACTTACTTCTGTGCTTCGAGTGGTTTTTCCATATTTTCCTCAGCAGAGTAGTCATCTTGAGATTTCAATTTTAAATTACTTGTCTTCGGGTAATTTTAGTGACTTGTTTGAATAAATTCAAAACAAGTCGTTGCGAAGTTGTATCGGTTTCTTCCCGCGCGAGTTCCCGTTCCTATGCGCACGCGCGTCCACAATAACCACCCTCGTCGATATGAGTGCGGACTGACGACGCGCTATCACTCAACTTAAGTATAACTTGACAACTTTTATTATGTTTATGTCCTCCAGAAATAACAAAGGCGAAATCCAAGAGTTAAGTACGCCAATTTGGTAGTCACCGTGAATTTGCCGATTGTTTCAGTAAAAACGTTCTAGGAACGACTTAGGATTCTATATTTGGCGTGTAGTATTAAATTGACTTTTAACACTGCCTGACTACAAGACAGAGCTGTATTTGAAATAAAATGTTGCCTATAATTAACATCCGTTACATAACAATCATGGTTATAGGTATGTTAAAAAATCTTCAACAAAAAAATAATAATGGAAATTAAATAGGTATTGAATTGCCTTTTAGAAATAAACTTACAAATCTATACTTCTATACTAATATTATAAATGCGAAAGGAACTCTGTCTGTATGTCTGTCTGTCTTGCTTTCACGCCTAAACCACTGAACCGATTTTGTTGAAATTTGACCTACCTAGAGATAGTTTGAGTCCCGGGAAAGGACATAGGATAGTTTTTATCCCAAAACAGACAAAAGCAGACAAAGGACAAAAGAAGCCGCGGGCGGAAAGCTAGTATTTTTAGAAATAAAGACGTTTATTTTGTATTGCCTTAACGAATTACTATCAACAAAAGACATCAACGCACTGGTGAATGACCTATCTATGCCTAGACAAAAATTTCAATTTGATAGAGTCGCAGATTGTTTTGTAGGTACGTAATTTAAGTATCTCAACTAGAAGTCGAATATGGGTCATTCCACAAAAATATGTCAACTCTTAGTCCGCGCCACATTTCACATGAAATATTGTTAATATTTTATTCCAAAATTGTTAAATAACAGCTCGCAATGTGCTTTATTCATCACCCATTTATATTTTTTGAAACTATTTTTAAAACATCTTAAATTCCTTTTGAATGACCCAAAACGTCATTCCCTAGGCATGTCCGTACTCCAAAAGTTTGTGTTTTGGGACCCACATTTATAAAAACATCAACTTTATCCTTTGTTTTAATTAACGAATAATCTATTTAAATGTATATTACACCAAATTCTATTAATATTTTGCGGTTTCAATAAACAATAATTTGACTTTCTTTAGTTGAAAAAGAGTCTACAGTTTTTAGCGTCATTCCCTCGCCACGCACTGATTTTATAATTTTGCGCTTTAATATGTATTTAGAGTGAATGGCATTTAGTTGAGTTTAAAGTACGATACGAAGTTATCCTCAGACCATACTGGCTTTGCGGTAGCCGTTTTTTTAATTAGTGCAAAGGTGCCAGATGTTACCGAAACATGTGTTAATCCAGTCACTTCGTCAGTCCCTAGTTGAGTAGCTTTATTGATTATAATAGAAAATTGTATATAATTTAATAGTATTTACGTGTAGTTTTTTGGCTATTTTCGGCACATCGTATTAAGCATCTTATAATATAAAGTTAATCTGCATTTGTGTTAAGTTTTACTCCAAATCGTCAGTCCCTAGAGCGTCAGGCCCTAGCTTTAAACGGCACTTGGGACTAAATTACTAGTTAGGGAATGATGTTTTTTATATAGTGATAATAACAAAACAACTACATTATGTGTATTAACTTATCTATAAATGTTAAGGTTAAAAGTTTTATACTTTATTAGAAGTCATATAGGAGTAATGTAGTATGAAAAAATTGAAAATTATAATTTCTCCTAAAATAAAGCATAAAGTGACTGGCCCTTTTAGACATAACCTAATTAATTAATAAACAATAATTTACACTAATAAAGTATTCAAAAGCATCTTAAAAAAGTTACGGACAAAATGACGTCGAAAATATACAGATTTTTATGGAATGACCCATATCACATTATCTGCAAGAACTTTGTTTAATTTTGTTGTAATTTTGGACTTCTGAGGATGTAATGTGCGTACATGTGCAAGACGCGTGTCTCGGTAGCTGAATATGAAGATACACACTTATAAAAAGAGATTTGTGCCATTTTTAGGGAGAAGAGATATAATTTTTATTATCCACATTTTAAGTTCTTAGCTTATAAGATTTTTATTACTATACACCCTTACCTAAACGTTGGCGGTAAAAATGAAAATTTCAATAATTCTGATCAAAGTCAAAGTTTTTAACATAAAATTATTTACTTATCAAAATACATCCGTATGGTATAAAGTGCAAAAAAATGCAGCATCAAAGAGTGCTGATTTACACAAACAATGTTTATCACGAAGAAAAATGAGTTCAATGCAACAAAACGATTCAATAAATCCATTTACATTGATAAGACCATTGCAGTAATATAGCGTTTATTACATGATTGTAAAGGAAATTAGTATTATTACCTAATAAGTACCTACCTACTTATTAAATAATAATTGCTGATTACTTAATAAGATTATAAGTTACTATCAAACCCAGATGTTAATCAGACACGAAAAGCTTAAGGTTAAGTCTACTTATCTACTCGTAGGTACAACGGATTTTGATGCAGTTTTCACCATCATTTAGAAATCATTTCATGCCCGCATGAAATTCAGATTGTAACAAATCGATGTTAGTCTATCGTATAAATAATTATGTACATAATAACTTGTAGATTTACCAAAATCCGTTCCTTAGTTTCCTGAAAGAGTAACAAACACCTTACTTCCATACAAACTTTATCGTTATAAGTTGATAGGTAAGTAGGATAATGGAAATATGGTATTGCAGTAGGTAAGTAACCATTAGGTACCTAACCACTTAAAACAGCTATTTTTCCAGTGAAGAAAAACAAAAAAGCATACGGAGCTTTTAAACCATAGGTTCTCAGTAAAATGTGCCCGCCTGCCGCCTGATGCAAGCTCGGGTATTCAGTGGTCATGATCTGATGCAATATCGGTCAATTCGCTCTCAGATCAGGTTTTAAATTTGCCCTTAGTTAGTTTTTTGCCGTGCCACCGACCGACCAAAGCGTGTACCTAATTTCGTATCGAAACATATCCCGCTCGCTTAGTGCAAACGTGTGTTTTCTTGATGCGAGTAATTTAAAGTAGTTCAATCTTTTTGAACCATGATCTTCGGAATCACAAATTGGGCTGGTCCCAGTTTTACTATGCTATGAAAATGAAACTCTTTTCTTATTAGTTACCCCAATGTAGAACATAGGTCGATTTGTAATTGCCTTAGGTAAGAACTTCGGACTTTTGTTAGACCTATGTACAGCGACTTAGGTTTCGTGATTAATTTTTGCTACTACTTTACGGGTGGAAATGTTATCCCAGCAGTCTGGCTAACTAAAACTTTACATACATATACACTTTTTAACTTTCGTAGAGATGTCAAGAACTCAAGACGAGTAATAGTACTACATGAGTCACAACAACTAAGTAGGTACCTACTCAAACACTAAAATCTCTTATATTTTTCGCCTTTTTCAACTGCACAGGTTCCTACTGTAAATCGTTGACCAACATTTTTATAGTTCCTTTTTCTAGAAAAAATATTTTGTACAGTACAATGTGACGTAGCTAGGTCACTTTGTACTGTACAAAATAATTTGAAGAGACATAATGGGAGAGCATCACATTTAAAATAAAATGACAAAGGACTACATTAAAACACGTAGTAATATAATTCAAAATTTATTTAACATATTAAAATGGCATTATTTAACAAAATTATGATTCAAATTAATTAACTACTATTCTTATTTTAAATGCCTTATAAAAACAGCGAAATAGCATAAAATGAAAAAGAATAATTATAATCTATGATAAGAATCACAATATCATGATGTTCTAAAATTGTGCATAATATGGTGAGAAAAGTGAAAAGGTGAAAATAAAAATTGGTAGACATAATAAAGACTACATTGGAAATACTACATAGTAAGTTATGTAAGAATACACACAAAAATAGTTGACTAAATTGTGATTTTAAAACGTATGAACTATTTTATTACTACTGAACGACACACAAAAACACACACTAACAATGTAGGTATGTAGGTATAAAGTTAAAATCATGTCTTAAGTATCATTTCATAGAGGTAGTAGACTCTAAACAATTAAGTTCTCGAGATACCCACATATTAAATACCGGCCAATAATCAAAAGTCACGTGTATCTCTCTAACTACTTGACATTGGCAGAATCACTGCGTGGCGCCCTGGGCGCTTCAGCGGGACAGTCCATCCCAAAAAAAAAAAAAAAAAATAGAGGTAGTATTGGAAGAGAAGGACAATATCGCATAACGGAGATCTCAGGTAACATTTCATGGTTTTACTGATTCCTGAATAACACATTGGTAATTTGAAAATAAAATGCTCTAATTAAACTCATTCTTATGTTCACATTTAGCCTAGCCGCATACCTACTACAAACTTTTTGTTGGCCGATAGTTGGGTCGCGCTGTTAATCAGTAATTCAGTATGGAATGGACATGTATGAAAGTGCGCACACTGGTATCGGCCGATTCTTCATAAAAATTAGAATTGGGCCCAACTATCGGCCGACTATAAGTCTGCAGTCTGCGGGAAGGCTTACGATTCTCAACCTGCCTGTGACTCTGGCCTGAGCGTAAGTGCAGTGCAAGGCAGATCAACAGCGACTGAGAAAATAAGTACTATATGCCGGGGACCATAAGGCACACATTTCAAGAACCGAATGAACTAATTTTTACATTATAACTTTGGTCTGAAATATACACCCAATACCAACAACATACGATACAAAATTAAGCATCTGAGTTTACGCTTTGCCTAATGATAATACGCAAGTAAATACTGTTTCTTCCGCGTCCATAATGCTAAAACCAGCGGTAGTTTACTATTATTGGTGAGATACAATTCTGTGATCTGAGGATACAATACTATTGCACACAATATACATGCTACCTATATCGGGAATTTGTGATAGATGAAGGTTGGTTGGAAGGTGGTACACGACAACTACAGGCAACACATTATTTTATTATATTACATAATAATTATATTCGACTTTAGTGACTGTCAGATAGAGCTCCTTCTCAAACACGCGGTTTTTCAGCGCAGACTGATGTTACTCGTTTGCGCAGGCGCCATCTACAACTCGCGCCTTAGGAAATAACAGAGCCTTATTTTTAAGAGCAATGAACATTGTAGTCATTAAATCATCGAACAATCAGTAAAGTTACTTGAGTTATGCTGTTTTAGATGCGACTCATACTATCAATAAAAAAAAACAATATTTAATTAATAGCCTAAGTTACAACAAATCACATCAAACGCAATAAAATATATATTTTCAGGCTTAAATTAAGTATTGCTTGCTTGATAAACTTACATTAAAACCTTACCTATAATAGTCATATTATGAATGCTACCGAATTTTTAATCAAATTGTTATTACATAGTTTTTATATATTATTTTTTTAACTTTATATTTATCAAATTAATTCAAGATTTTACCTAAAAGTCCCAGTCACAGCATTCATTCAAAATCTCTTGGGAAATTGACATACTGAAACATTTAGAGTTAACATCACTAAAGGATAATTTATGATGAATGACTAAAATGCTTCTTATATGAGCTAAGAACTTCACTGAAACTTGAAGTTCATTCCAGTATTTGGTCATAACTTATTTTAATACTTGTCCACAAAAAGGTTTCATTCCGGGATGGTTCCCTATCTCTGTCAGATGGGTTCTTTGTAGTAATAAAAATCCACAAATTTCCTATGAATATAGGAATAGGATAAGATGAATGTAAAGAGACTAAAGTCAGTCACTTTAGATAGTTCACATCACAGAATCATACCCATAAATTGACAAATTGCAGTCTGAATTAATTATTTATTAATGTCAAAGAAAGTACATAATTTAGTATTGTCTATAATCTAAAATAATAAACATATTAGGCAGATGTAAAGTTTGTTATGTGGTATATCATTCACAAATCACATGTTTGACTATGCCCAAACAGAACAATAAATCCTATTTAATATACAGATATTTATAATATTTTAATCGTTTGTTTCAGCCAAATCTGGACAAAGGATATTTCTCATACAAGTTAAAATACAGTCATTCATAAAATGAAATTCTTATTTGTAAAGCAGTTCATAGTATTAACTAGCAATATATATTATTATATCTAGACTTTAACCTCTTAATTTCTATAGGAAGTAAAAATCTGGAGTTTTAATTTATTAACTATAAAATATATTAAACAATATAAATATGCTACTCTTAACTTTATCTGACAAAGCATATAAATGTAGTATTTATATTTCATATTAAGCCACAACAAGATGTTAAATAAGTTTGATTTATGATCCTTCAGATGCTTTGCCAACAAACAGTCATTCTGACTTCCTGGCTATATCTAGCTTTTAAATATTGAACTATTCTGTAACTATATGTAACAATGAATGAAGACATTTCTTAGTTGGAACTGGCACTACATCTTTACAACAAAACGGTACCAAACGTTGCAAACAATAGGTACCAACACTATGTAAAGTACTGAGGCACATAATTTGGGATACAAAGTATACATAAATTATTATTTTAATATCAATATCATCACATTTGTCAAATTAATGTACACATGCTACATTTAAAACAAGGTAATTCAAATGTAATGTCTCCATCAGCATGAAGAATCTCTCCATGACAGTTTGCTTAAATTTTATGTAGGAAAAATACAAATGAGTCAATGTAGAATGTACAAATGTACTGTATTAATTGTGATGACATATCAACACAGTAATCCGTACCTAATTTTGGTATTTATTGTTTATAAATATAATTTAGGAATTCATTTCACTTCTTTCTTCACAGTCAAAGTCTTATCTGCTGGCTTAGCAGGCGGTTTCACTGTGGATCATTTCTTCTTTCTATCTTGAGTGCACTTAGGGCAATACCATTTACCTTTGGGTTTGATCTTGAGATCTACACAAGCAAAGTGGAACCACTCTATGGGACAATCTGGGTTGTCACAACCAATCATTTCACCATAAGATACTTGGTGGCAAAGGCAATATGTGGGCTCGTTGGGGTCTACAGGCATATCCAACACATCACTAGGATGAGCCATGCCCGCAACTGAGTCTAAATCTGCATTCTCATCTTGTTCTTTGACAGCGTTAGCTATGGCTGCAGCACCCTTACGGGGAGTCTTCTTCTTGGCTGCGGGCCTACCCGACGCAGCTGCATCATCTTCACTGGACGCACCAGCGCGTTTCTTTTTGCCAGTGGTCGCAGTCTTTTCATTGCCCTTATGCTTCTTCCTACCTTTCTTCACCGTTGTGGTATTCGGCTCCTGGTCGGCGGCGGCCTGCTGGGCTGCACGAGCGGTCATCACTTTCTCTTGGATCTCGGACTCGAAGCGCGCGAGGTCTGAATCCAGGCGCCGTATGTGCTTGTCTACCAGCTCATATGTTTGAATTGCCAGTTGGACTTTGTCATCACCGTATTCCTTGGCCTTATTAAATAGCCCTTGAATAGTGTTCACCTTCTCCTTCTTCGTTTCCTCGTCCATTTTAGGGATATTCGGCAACAACTCATCGGCCATGAGATCGATTGTCCTCATTAGTCCGTGAGCTCGATCATCCAAATCTCGCATTAACTTGAAGTTCCTTTGCAACTCGATCGGCAGATGCTGGAGACTGTCTAGATAATGCTCTAAATACAGCGCTGAAGTCATTTTGATAAAAGTATTTCGTAACGACACGAAAATGAAAGTAAGCGCGAAACTTTATAATATCTTAAAAAAGGCACATTCACTGAAGCACGAATTGTTCACGGTGGTTATTTTTATAGCTGATGAAATAAAACTTCTCTCAATTCAGCAGCAAAAGTATTAAACAAATTGAAAACGTAAAGATGCGTCTTGCATTTTTCAAGCCATTTGTATAAACGTTTCGTTTCTCCGTCGTTTTGTCACAATGTCACAAAACTTAATTTTACGGATAAACTTAAATTCAAACATTCCCAGATATTATCGTACGGTATTTTTTTGATTTTATATTTAAGTTTACAATTTCAATATCCTGAAAGTTCTCTGTTAAATTATAATGAATGATTTTAAATGGAAGTCACAGATATGGAAGTCATAACGAACGAAACGCAAAGAAAAGAAATGGAGGGCATCGAACTACGTTTTCGTTTCACGCAGAAGCTGTTGGTTGTCTGTAGATATGACAGATTTTAATGAACATCGAGATTTGGTAATGGTGATGTTTCATGTTAGGTTGTTAAAATAATATGAATGCATTACCGCAGCAAAATTTTTATAAATGTTGTGCTTTAGAGAGTCGAGAGTATAGCAGATAATTAGTCCATCGTGAGCAGAAATTTGTCCACTAATAGCAAAATTCGTTCAAATTATAGTTTTAAAGTTATTAGGAAAAAACAGATTTTGCTGGGGTAACGTTTCAAATATTAACCTGGCAATTTTTTTTTTAAAGTCGTTCTATCCCGGAGATGGATAGAAAGCTTTTGTTGCGTAGTAATTCAAATCAATGACTAATTTTTGAACTAATTTGGTCATATCAAGGATTCAAGGTCTATCATTGGTAGTTTTTCAAACTTCTGCGTTGAGCCATTTACGAGATCTGGGACATCACAAAACATTACCCCAGCAAAATTCTGAATAACTTGAAAACCGGAACACGAACAAATTTTGCTATTCGTGGACAAATTACTACGCAACAAAAGCTATTCCATATATTTGGTTCCGGGATAGAACTTTAAAAAAAAATTGCCAGGGTAATTATTACTTTTCTCTTTGGGGTAATGTTTGAAACGTTACCCCAGCAAAATCTGTTTTTTCCTAATAACTTTGAAACTATAATTTGAACGAATTTTGCTATTAGTGGACAAATTTCTGCTCACGATGGACTAATTATCTGCTATACTCTCGACTCTCTAAAGCACAACATTTATAAAAATTTTGCTGCGGTAATGCACTCAAATAATATTTTAATTTAGAATAAATAATTTACCAAAAGCCAAAAGGTCCCCCACTGACCCACTCCCACAGTCGAAGAAGTGAGATACTTAATAATATTTGCAAAAAAAAAATATTTTAAGAATTTGTAATCCCATTTTTTGGCTTACTTGGCTGGCCTCAAAATAATTTATTCAAAAATGGTTAATTCGTTATTATTTCATGAAAAAAATACATTCTTTGCGATTGTTATTTGCGACCTATGTCGATGTGGAATACAGTATAAGATCAAAGAAAATATAATATAGGCATAATAATTATTCAAGCATAAACATTATGATGTTACAAGTTTGTACGGAACCTTCGCTCAGCGAGTCTGACTTGTACTCGGCCGGGTTTTATTTAATTTATTGCTGGTCTTAATATTAAATTGAGGGCAAAATAGTAAAATACTGAAGAAATAAAACGCCAAACATAATTTAACTTAAATTGTATTAGCAAATAAACAATTTATAAAATATTCTCTTATTACACATGACATTATTTTATAGTCCAGTATGTGAAGCATTCTTATTTAATCTCCCATTAATTGAAATGTGATTTATAAGAAAATCGGCCATGAAACTTTCACAGACTATTGAACGGTGGAAAAACACTACAAATCTTGCATGTCTTGGATAGAAAAATCACATAACAACTAATGGTTCACAATATTTTCAGGACTATAGCGAATACAACAACTTGATTTGATTTTAAAATCATAAACATTTAAGAAAAATGCAAATAAATAATCAGCGTTTGCCATAATACGGCAAAATAAAGAGGCTTTTCACGTAATCTACATAATATAAAACATGCTTCATTTATTTTCTTACGGCTATAATTTACATTTCTTTACTAAATACTATCCATGTTCATATATACGTACATTACACTACTATACTACATTGTTGATCATTCCAATAGTAAATAAGTATAGAAAAAGTTCCGCAACATTTTAAAACGCGTTTCTAATTTATAAAATTATTGATGGTTTAGAATTTCTTATATAAATCTGCGGATTGTGATGTTATGTGATAGATATTACGTAATTTTGGGATATGTCAGAAATCCGTATTCACAACTTCTAAAGAAACTTTGAAACGCGACTTTAGTGACATTACGCTTAAAAAATAACGGAATTATTTTGAATTGTTTATTTAGAAAATAATTAGCTTCTTATTTGTATTATCTATCCGGAAAATACACAAATTAATAATTTGTGCACATTGTTTACACTAGACATTTTTCACAGTAATGTTTCCAATACTATTAAAAAAATATCGTAAAAGGTTTGTGTTACATTTTATAATAACTGTTAAATAAGCGATTTAAACAATTATGTACACAAGAGAAATTGGCGGGGTTAAGTTTTACTCATAAGTTAAAATACTTCCTAAAATTTTCGATAGTTTTTAAAGTACAGAAATTACACTTTAGGTTTTGTTTAGTATGCAATGAGTACATGAAATACCTACCTTCCGAAATTATTACAGGACACTTAAATGGATTTAATACTTACTCCTAGCTAGGTACAACACTACATATTATTTTAGATAATTTGGTACACATTCGTTGCTCATTTACAATTAAAAAATATTAACAAATGTCGCGTGGGGTCAGCGAGCAACTAAATATTTTGGAATGCATATAAATAACAAGTATAGGAAATGCAGACAATTATTATTACATAGAAAAGTTTAATATTTAGTCATAGAACGGAGAGAAAACCGTGAGATTCTCTTCGCTTAAAGTATTCATGTAATTTTAATGATATAATTCTTCCACTATGTATTAGATGAGTATAAAATTTTATTACAAAATGGAAGCTATGGATTTTCGTTCATGAAACTATACAATCGATACAATTGGCACTACAAATGCAGGTCACATTAATATGAAATTACAAAATCTTATTTTATTATTTTATTAAAGTCGTGTCTGCACACTTTCAACTCATAAGTAAAATTATTTCATAGTTTCGTAAAATAATAGAGAGTTTCATAAGGATCCCGTGAGTGACACATCCGATCGCTCGATCATCTTCATAAAACCACTTAAAGCATTTAAATTCTTCATAAACAGAATATAATACAATCTCAAAAAGTAATTTCACAACCACTAATCAAAACAGGTTCTATAGTTTTGTGAAATATTTGTTACATTCAACAAGCAAAGCACCATTCAGACAGGTCGTGCTCAGGTGGGCAGACAGCGCATGGCCGGTACACCTCGCAATATCATCTCGTACAGCAACACACCCGGGAATAGACTATCATGTATCAAACGTCATCCTAATCAATAAAAAGGTGAAGAGTAGATATTTTTACCGCTACATCTAACCATTTCTCATCACTATAGGGTATAAAGGTATATATTTTTGGTTTAATAGATAAATATTACCATCGTTTTCCCTTCGCACAGACTAGCTATCGCGATAATCTCATCATTGACTGATATATAATTACATTCATTACAAATTCATTAAATCACACCGATTAATTCAAACATTAATTACAGATCCGAGTTCCGTGCACCTGGTTCATTCAAAATACCTAGCTACCTTACCTAGCGCCGCCGCGTCGCGGGGCGACCTACGAAGCGATCACAATTTGCCGTGCACGAAACACGAAGACGGAGGGGACTCTAATATATTTAAGTAGATGACGCAAACGCAACACTAGCGACGCTGCGTGCGTGCAGTGCACCGAACTCAAGTTCAGTTTACTCTGACAATGGCGGGCACTTTCACACGTTCGACATAACGACTGACAAGAAGCATATCATAATGAGCATATTCATCGAAGGCAGTGTAACTAAAATGACAATGCCAGATTTTGTATGGAAGGTGGCGTCTTTTTTTTTCGCGTGGCCATCGTCCAAACTTTATTTTTTGATTACAAAATACTGTAATAAACCAAACTTATTATTGCAAGTAATTACGGTATACTGTATACCTCTAAACTCAGTCTGAACTGAGTTACGAGCATTAGAAGTTTGATGATTTTCATACTAGATTTGATTTTTGCGCGCAAGTTTTGTAAGAAATTGCAACAAAATTGCGCTGAATTCTGCTGCATACTGATGTCTGGAGCCTTCAATGGATGGTATTGTTTGTTTACACATACAATGTCACTATTTTGTTGCAATTTCTTACAAAACTTGCGCGCAAAAAGCAAATCTAGTATGAAAATCATCAAACTTCTAATGCTCGTAACTCTTACAGACTGAGTTTAGAGGTATACATGTCATAGTAAGTTTGGTTTATTACACTGTTTTGTAATCAAAAAACAAGGTTTGGTCGATGGCCGCGCGAAAAAAAAAGACGCCAATTTCCGGCATTGTCTTTTGATCAAGACAGTGAACGTATGCGCAAAGCTACGTCGTCCTCGTCATCAGGATCGGGACGGTCGAGCTACCCGCCAAAGAGTGGCGAATCACCGCCACCCAGAGCCGCCTGCGTCATCTACTTAAATATTCGGTTGGACTACACGAGCGTCTCGTACTTGTCGAGCACGTGCGCCTGCGCGTGGTCGTCGCCGTGCGAGCGCGAGCGCGGGCGCGCGTCGGCGGGCGGCTTGGCGCGCGTCTTCTTGTCGTGGCCGCACGTGCACGCCACCGACGCCTGCCGCTTGAGCGTGTGCGCGCGCGCGCCCGCCCACTGCGGGTCCAGCGACTCGCTGCGGGCGTACGCGGACCGGCGCGCGCGGCCCATCGTCGCGTGCGCGAACCCGCCGTCCGACGCCGGCCGCGCCGTCACGCCGCCGCCGGCGCGCCGGAACGAGTCCAGCACGCGCTCCTCGATCTCCTCGATGTCCTTCTTCTTCACCAGCCAGATCTCCTCGGAGCCGCGCGTGAAGTAGCTCGAGCCCTTGCTGACGGAGTGCTTCTCCTTGTTTTTTAACTTGCAAGGTTTGTCGTCGGCGGGCTTCGGGCGCGCCG